GTGTTCATCGGCTGGTCTTTTTAATTGATCCCCAGATTTCTCGGTCAATGTATTTTTACGTTCAGCTGATTCTTACTTTGTTAACACGTGTACTGTGAGAAAGAAAAATGCTGTCAGGATTTGATCAGCTGTCTGAGACGTTCGACGCCTAAAAAAGCCGGAATTAGCGTGTCAAGTGATCTGTCGATTTTTTTCGCGGTTTTCGTGGTATTGATAAAACAAAAACGGGTATAATTGGACAATGTGTACTGATTGTCATTTTGCTATGCATAAATGAATCTCATATTCATGAAACTTGTAGCCGCATCTCAATATCGATATGTATTGCGTGATGCATAATTTTGAAGGAAATAAGATTGACAGCTTAAATATCAATTCTAGTCTGGTAACTAAAAAAAAAAAAGAAAAAAGAAAATGAGTGCTGGTTGGTTCATGAAGATTTAGTGTTCCACTATTAGTTTTCTTACCTACGATTATTACATCATGCTTTTCGATTACGACTCGCAATTTAGGCTCACGACGTGATGCAGAATGATATTCTTAGTCATAGATGGAAATCTTGAATTCTCGGTAAAAGTAGCGGTAGTACGCGAGATTTTTTTCTACAAAGCGTTAAATAAAATCGGCAAGATTGTCTTGTTTGTTATTACATCACACAGTTATTATTCGAGAACTTGCATATCGATATGGGTTCTTTGTTCTCTGCAAGTTGTACAACCACTATGTGATTATTCAGTCGGTTCGGTTTTATTAACTATTTTTTTTATTACTTGAATATTGCTACAGTGTAATTTATTACTTTTATTATTGTTATTTACAAATGTTTCAGTGTAGTGTGTATGTACTTGCTATCTAAGTCATAAACACATGATACAATGTGGATTATATACCCATATTACATTAAAAATATAACGCACGACTAGCCACCTTGACTTCTATTATCGTTATTATTATTATTATTATTTTTTATTGCTGAAGTTTAGAATAATAATAATTATTATTAATATTATTAATATTATTATTATTATTATTATTATTATTATTTGTCCCGCTTTTCCCGCTTTATAGAAATAACGGTGTTTGTGCATCATTCCAATGCTGCTTCCGCCACACAAAAAAAATGCAATTCCATTCGGATTTTTCCAATAATATCCACGTTTTTTGAGCTACAGGAGAGTAATCATTGAATCAATATCGGGGAAATCGGAAAAAAAAAGGTAAAATTAATGTTTTTTACGGCTTCTTTCAATTTAAACTTTAGAACACGAACTTTGAGATTTACCTAATGTTTATTCTCCGAAATTTCTGAAGAATTAAACGAGAAAAAAATTTTCTACAGATTCATTCAATTAAATAGTTGCCTATTTGAGCCATTTTCTCCATATTTCGGAGGAATGACTTTACATATTTCGGAGTTTTCTTTGAGACGATTAAAATGTTCTACACAGAATAAACAAAAACGCATTTTAATTTGGGTGAAATTGGCAAAATCCTTATATAAGTAGTCTGACGACTTCAATGGTTAATTCGTGTGAATCAATTTCCCAAAAAATGATAATAATAAAACTAATTTTCAACTGAAACGCATACACGCACGTTTTCACGTCCTGATTTCTCGTTCTTATGTTTTGTGAAACTAATGACCATGTGTTTATTTTCTTTTCTTTTCTTTTTTGGTAAAGAGAAAATACAATGTGACGTTTTTATAGAGCTAAAATCCAATGATAATAAATAGGAGTGATTAATGCGCGCGGGCGAAACGCCATTTCATGTTTATATGATGCCGTACGAGGTGATATATACACTGTGGCTTATGTTCTCATGGCAGTGAACCAAGCAGAGAAATTATAAGGTCGCGTGAGGTTATTACAACAGTTTTGTTTAGATATCTGACCACATTTCTCTTTTTTTTTTTTTTACTTGAGTACGTGCGCGAACGCATAAAACTCGGTAACCCCCTAGGACCTAAAACTACTTCATATAGAAAGTATCGAGCCCTTGCATCAATGAAGAAGCAAGGGATATAGGGAACCAAGCGATCATAATCGTTTAATAAATGTTATATTTCCAAATAATCTTAATTGGTAGTTGAATTGAACAAAGAACGCGAAAAGTCTAATTTTCTGTTCATTTGATGGATTGATGAATGAATAAAATTTCTTTATTCGAAAATCTATTATTGTAACTTTTTTGTGACAGCTGCCTGCATTATTCGCTGATCCTTTTGATTATTTTTATTTATTGCTGTATACAGGTTTGGAAATCGCGATCATAGATAATATAATAATTGTATTACCTTGCAATATATTTTATATTGCTTTGGTTGTTGTTTTATCACGGATTTTGTTTTTCTTGATTTTAATCAATCGGAGAATCTGATGTTGTTTGTTTGGGTGTGAGAAATTAGATTTCGTAGGGTGATGAAAAAGATGAACCAAGATTATAATTATTTCTCACGCTTTATAATCGTCATTATGAATAATGAAAAAGATTTTCTTTAGTCATCCCAACATTACATCACACCAATTAGGGATGTGGCATTTATTCTCGACCTTAGAAAACAGATTTTCTTTTTCTTTCGACCATGTTCACAGCGAACCTAATATGTGAAAAATGATTTTCGATTCACACGATATCATTCCCGAGAATTTTGGGATCTTTATAATGGATGCTTATTCGGGAAAGATCGAGGGAAAGGGGTACACGGAGTCACCCTCTTTCATCTGCATTGTCTATCTGTCTTTTTTCAGTTAGACACCCCAGTTTCCACCTTTACAAAAAATCTTTTTTTTTCTTGATTTCTCATTAATGGTTCCTATGAAAAAAAAAAGAGGAACAAATTACTTCAATGCCATTTCCAGATTGATTGATTGATTGATTGATGGATGGATGACTTGATCACACTCGAATAAATGATATTGTGTATGCGCATCTAATAATAATATTAATAATTATTATTATTTATTTTTAATAACTTGTCGAAGGAAGATAAAAAATTTTCCATAATTCGTAGATACAAAAACTACGGTTGCGACATCCTTCGTGTCACCCCTCGTGAGGTCAACTAAATTACTCTCAGGATAACTTTATTTACTAAAGTAAGAAAAAATATAGCAATATCAGAAGCAGCAAATTAAATGTTACGATCTTAAACTAAGGTAACTGATATATATTACTTGTTATCCCCAATGATAATAGTATTATTCTCTGCATAATAAAAACTTTAAAGTGAACACGTTTTTTTTCTCGCCATATTCTCTTGACTTTACCACGCACGCGCACACATACACACATACATGTATGTACGTGTATGTGTGTTATATATATATATATATCGATATATATCTTATTTTTTTTCTTACATAGATAACCTTGCACAAAAATTTTATTTTTATTAACATAATTTGTAATCAAGACACACACAAAAAATAACAAGTTATCTTCTGGAAATTTAAAGAGTGCTCAATAATGGATGGTTCTCTTTTGTTTACATCCATTTATGCGTTAGAACAAAGAAAAATCGGTCGTATGCAAATAATCATTGTTGAATTATTGAAATTATTGAGAAATAATCCACATTTCGATATGATGACGGATTTTGTGTGATATGAAAGGGAAAACGTGCTCAACTGAGGTGTGTATTTATATAAATTTATAAAGAAGGAGACCTAAAATTAAATTTTACGTTTCATGATTCTGACTCGATGCAATAATTTCCTAAATCAATTATTAACGTGGATTCTTTAGAGATTTTCCATATGTACGTATAGTAGATTCTAGATGTGCGAGACGATGACGCTAATGGAATAGCCGAACAAATAAATATTATTGGTTAGATTTCATTAAGAAAAATTGTGGGTATAACTCTCACTTATTTACATTATTGCTTCATGGACCGTTGGTGTAACATCTGTGATATAATAAATAATAAAAAACAATGATATCATAGCAACTATTGTAGTTTTATCCCATAGACAATACTCACTATTATACATATACATATACATATATATATGTATAAATAATTTGATTTATTATCTGATTTATTGATTAAATTGTTTATAATAAATAATAATAAATTACAAATTTTGAATCTGTAAATAAATATATAATGAATGCGACTCCCCTTTTTTCTAATCAGTAGAAACACTGGTTCTAGCACAGCAATAATAAATAACAATAACAATAACATTCGATTTGGGTTGAATGTGAACAAGAGAAGCGAAATCCAAAAGAAACAAAAAAAACCCAAGAAACGAACATTCAAGAAACTAGCTGTAAAGAACCACCCAAGAGATTTACTTCACACAGCGTCGTCGTTGTCATCATCATCACCACCACCACCACTACCATCATCATCATCATCAATCAATCAATCAATCAAACATCTATTAATTCTGAGAGGGAATTGACAGAAGTCAGTGACGTATCACACAAGTTTCTCGCTCTACACAAAACCGATTCTCATACACCACATTAAAAATAAAATTTAATATATAATATATTATAAATAATATATTATATTATTTATACTATATAATACTGTATAATATATAAAAGAAGTGCTTGTTCATTTTTTTTTAAAATTTGCACCATATCCATTTTTATTTACTTTCAACAAAAAAAAGAATAAAAAAAATTCTTCTCTTCGACGACGAAAAAATCTAAACTTTTTGTTACGTTTGTCTATACTATTTATTATATATATCATAGTAGTAGTTCCATAAATATACATATATAAAAACATCATGACATATATATGTATATAAATAGAGATATATATATAACAAACAAAATTCCCTTTTCCTTGAAAAAAGTTCCCGTCATCGTAGTTAATTAAATATACTTGATTGAACAGTCTATCAGTTCTTTAGTAAGCAAAAAATTAAAAGCTGCCTTTATTTTCGTTATTTCTTTATTATCTCACGACAAAACTTCACACACACACACACACACTTGCGAAATCTCTCCCCCCTGTTGTATTTTAAACATTTTCGCTAATGACGTTGTCCAGTAATAATAGTTATTTGATGATTCCACCGATGTTTGTCGAAAGCTCTCCTTCTTATGAGAGTTTGAATGATGCACTGAATACTGGTAACCATTACGACCCAGCAGAAGTGAACGAATCGACAACATATATCAAATCAGAATTTTCTTATTACAATAACAGTAGCAACAACAATAATTGTAGTCTCGCTAATCAGAAACCTCAACTTTTAGTTGATACAACGACTGATGATAATTGTTGCTCGATTTCTTTACCATCGCTCACTTCTTCTGGTCAATCTTCGCCACAGCAAAGTGTTCCAACTATATTGTATCCTTTTGCCGAGTTTCGAAATTCGAGCAATCATCATGACGATAATAATAACAATGGGAATAATGGAAATACTATTCACGTCAAAACCGAAGAATTTCCATTAGATCAATTGACTTTGGACTCAGTCTCCAGCTGTGAATCTTCTCCGATTAATGTCTCTTTTAATGAATATGATCAGATGATTAATCATCAACACCATCATCACCAACAACAGCAGCAACAAGCATCATCTCCCCATCAGCAACTTTCATATTTTCATAATCAGCATCCTCGCCAAGGATGTGATGACGATTCGACGAGTGAAAGTAGCTACGGAGCTCAAACAACATCTCCGTTATTGTCAATAAGTGATGATATTTCATTCTTACCATCTGATAACTATTCACCTGATAATTATATCTACTGTGACTTGTACCAGAGACCCGGAAGCAATGGCAATAATAATGTGACTAATCAAAATAATAACTCGAGTACACTGGAAAGTCATCATCAGGAACAAGTGCGATTTATCATTTACGAACCTGAAGGTGCTGCTCTAGTGCCAACTATTAATCATCATCAACATCATCATCATAATAACGGATCATCTGCTGCTTTATGGCCTGCTACTTCATTCACACCCGTTGCTTCAGGGCACAATAATCACCATCATAACAATGGAAATTGTGCAAGCGCCAATGGTGGACAATCTTCAATTTCATTGACTTTCGATTATTTACCGACACAACAACATCAACAAAATCACACGTTACCATCAGGTACCTCACTAAATCCTCCACAGATTCACCAAATTACGCAACAAGCACCACTTCTTCATCACCATCACTCTCATATAGTACGAAATAACTCTACTAATAACAATAACAATAACAATAATAACAATAATAACAATAATAATAATTCACAAAATCAAGTTAATCCTCCGCCACCACAACAACAACAACAAATAAAATGTCCGCATGAAGATTGTCCCAAAACCTTTAGTCGATTATACAATTTAAAAGCGCATCTACGATCTCATTCTCCTGCACGTCCTTATCCATGCCCGATGTGTCCACGATCATTTTCTCGTAAGCATGATCTTCAACGACACATCCGAGTACATACAGGTTAGCATCATTTTTTTTTATTTTTTTTTTTATCATCATCATTACAAAGTATTAACATCTTTGATTCTAAATTATCAGGTGTCAAACCTTATCAATGTCCATGCTGCCGCAAGGCTTTTGCTCGCACTGATGCATTACGTCGCCATTTCAAAGTCGAAGTAACATGTGGACAGAGCGAAGCTGTTCAAAATATGAAGACGCGCAGAAGATATTCTGAGATGCAATAATAGACTATTAAGATGATAACGCATTTACCGCGTTGAGTTTCTTTCGCTACTATTATCACTTATACTATATATATTAATATATACTTAGAGAATTAAAGTAAATGACGCAATGCGTTGATATACTTTATAATACTTATAAAAAATAATCATAAAATAATGCAAGTTTTTTTTTTCCCGCAAAAATCACTGTTATCGCCTTTTCTTAGACTTCTACATCACACATTTTTTCATATAAACGAAAGCGATTTCGTTTCGGTTTTTTCTCTTCTGTGTAAATTTTTTTATTTTTTATTCGCAATATTTCTTTTCAAGAGAACATACACATACATACATATACATTTTTATATACAACTTTTAAAACTCATTTTTTCTTTGTTCGTTAATATACACATATTATACATCATACATATACATTATATGAACAATTACTCATCTAAGTTTTCATAAACGGTGTTAAATCAATTTTAATTATAATACTCATATACACGCATTTTTCATCCCTTTTGTATATACAAGTTAGACGACAAGATTTATTAATCATAATCATATATGGCGATAATATAAAGTTTTTTCTTATATGTTCGATGATAGGATAGGTTTTAATTACTACTGTTTGTTTTTACTACTGCATTTTTTTTCATTACTACTGCATTTTTTTTTTACTTTCGCATTGCAAAAATCACATTCACACACACAAAAACACTCATTCCTTCTTTTCTGTATCTTCTTCAATTCGTTCATGTTCATGTTCTGTTTCTGATTCTCTCTTTCGTGTTACGAAGTCGCGTTGTTGTGATGTGAATGCACGCGTGCACACCAGAGCCTTCGAGCAAAATAATTTGCCCAGCTCGTCGTCATCGTGCCTATTCACACACAAGACGCGCATCCGTGCCTCTCGAATAAAAATATTCTGTGATAAAGACAAAAAATACCATAAAATTAACTTTTGATCGATGATTGCTTTTTTTGGTGGGATGGGATCTTGACGCGTCAAAAATGTGTATTGATGACTTATTTTTCCCTCATTAACTACTGGATATGTAATTACGGTTTCTGGGGGATGATAGAGTGATGACGTCGTGTGGGTCGAGCGTGGGATAATTTTTTTTCTGTTGCGTTACAATTGATTATTGAATAAGACGGATTGATTAGATTATTTGTATGCATGTATGTATGTTGTGTCTGTCCTACCTTGTTGCTGGTTATCAAAGATTGATTAAATAATAGTTTGCGCGATGAATTAAGGATGTTCAATCTCGAGTTTTAACTTTACCTTGGTTGTTTTTCATTAAGAATGGACATTTTTTTTTTCATTGTCGTTTTTCGGGTGCAAACCATCTTGCATTACCCACTTCTTGTTGTTGTGGTATATGTCACAAGATCAAAGTTATCAGTTGCTGATTGATTAATTAATTAATTAATTAATTTACTCGTTCTAATCAGTAAATGTTGGTGAGACGCATAAGAATATTAATATAGATGTTTCCGTCTAGCTTTTTTTACTACGCACCACACACTATCTATATTATTAGGAAGATTGATAAGATTTTTTATTTATTGTTATACGGCCTAAAGCGGGACATTGTGACACGAAGAAATGCAGTGTAATGAAGACGATGACGACTTTGTTTTTCTTTTAGATACGTTGTGTCAGGATAGTATTAAATTATTTCCCCTTGAGATATGTATTATCAAAGATCAAACTCAAATCTTATTTGCCTATACATGTTACTTTCTTACCGAAAAGTAAAAAAACGTCAATGAATGAATGGATGTATGTTCATACGTACGCGCGTATGTGCAGGATATGTCCTATTGTTTCGGGATTTGAGAAACTATCAAATAATAATTATTTTAACGAAACAAGACAATCAATTACATGTATACATGTATATGTGTAAATATAGCCTAAAAGTGAATTAATTTTTTTTTTGCATTAATTTAGAAAATAATAAAGAGAAAATAATACATGTGACCGTCTGTGTCACCCTATACTGAAGAATTTTAGGGTGTCTGTGATAACAACGGCTTTTTGTATTTGTTTTCCTTTTCGAGAGAATAATGGATAAACTTGTGTTGTGCAAGTTACGAATATATACAGATAGACTAAAATGCATAGAGGAAATATACTTCATATCCCTGCATAAAGAAGATTTCTCAAGGAATAAAGAAATTCCACAAAATCTTTTGGTCCATCGATTAAATTTCATTGTTCGAAAATTTTGCGAGCATTCATGTCAACAATGCATCCCAAACAATAAACGATAAATGATGAAAAAAAAGCTTTTTGTCTCAAAATGAAATAAATGGGGTAAATGCTTAATTCATTCATTATATGCATTCAAAAACGGTTACTTAAACATTCCCAATAGTGTTACAAGAAAACCAGAAAATACACGATTGATGCCGATAATGAAAGGATTTTTCGTTTCCTTATTCTGACATTACTTTACCTTTCGGATTCCTATATTCTCGGTAAATTGCGGGCCTGTGCGCGATGAAAATTCGGATGATAATATTGTCGTGCAGTTATCACCTAGAACAATGATAAGAAGATGATGACACCCTGTTATAAAGAGAATATTCGTGTATCCACTTAATTGTGAAAATCTAAATGGTTTTTGAGTTACACGCGGAAAAAGGTATGGATCTGATTTCCAGTCTTTTATCCTGTTTCAATCATTCTTGTTTCGTTATTGTTCGTATGATGTTACAACTGTCAGGAACAAAAAGATGCGAAATTTTTTGAGTAACAATGTTTTGGGAAACAAGAAACAAGAACTTATGTTCGCGCGCGGTGTGAGGCTTATGTTAATTGAAAGCGAGTCAAGCGGAAGGTTTGACCCCCGATTTGCGAATTATTTAATTTCTGCTGTGTAACAGGTCTAATCAGTTATTCCGAGATGATAGATAAAATTGATTAGATTTTCGAAATTATTACTTCCTCATTGTTGAAAATTGATTTAGGAAATTCGCGATGTAACTTAGGTAGATCTCTGACAAATATTGTTTTACCCTGGAAAAAATATTATTGCGGCGTTTCTGAATAGAGATCGATACACATAAAATGCTAGTTTATTTCAAATGGATTAAAAATAGCAATTAATCAAACGGATAATCCCTCCGAATTTTATTTAAAATTCGATGGATAAAAATTCATTTGTCTAACACAGTCAGTCACACCTAAGGGTCATTCAGCCGCGAAGTAAAGAGCTTGATTCGGCTGGTACTTTTGGCCACCCGGCTTGTGTAACCAAGAATTTGCGTTACAGCGTATCCGACCGGATCCCAACAAATTTAGTGATTAATGGGAGGTGTGACTAATTAGAGGTGTGATAAATGTGACTAATGAGAAGCGTGACTATTTGTCATAATTTCTAAAATTAATCTGCAAATTTTCTCAATATGCGCATGATATAATATCAATGCCTTATATTATTGAATTTAAGATTAAAGTATGAATTTTTTATCTGCGCAACCCGCAAATTACTTTAAGAAATTATCTGCACAACCAGTCTCCAATCTGCGGTACGCAGACAGCGCAGGTCAATTTTAAACACTGGCTGTAAGCCAATTATATTTCTTAAATAAAACTTCAAATGATGATCGTGAATTCATTCATTCAACCTCAATTTCTTACCGCATAATTTCTGCCAAAGTTATTAGTCAAAGCTCGATATAACGATATTCCTACTTCATTAAAATCTCGATATAACGACAACCAAAAACAACTAATAAAATTTCTTCGGTATAACGGGTTTTATAGTAAATTCTCGATATAAACATATCGTGATATTGAGTGTTTAATGACTACACATAATTCGGAGTACTATTACTTTGATGTAGACCAAAATATAAAAAATGCTTGATCTATTATCTGCTCTGCAGCAAACGTATCTGTTATGCAGCAAATATATCTGCATAATGCATCAATTAAACTGATGCAACTACAAGAAACAGATAACACACAAAAGGGGAACTTGACACATGAAAGCTTTCGTTGAAATTTACATATTTACGTTATTTATTATAAACACATGCTACGACAACTTTCGAAAAAAATCCTATATGAGCGTTGTTCTAATTTAAATGACATGCTATTCTCCTTGCATATCTATACAATATAATAAATACTAATAGATGTGAAAAATAAGATGCTCATTCTCATGCTTCTATTAACATAAAAAAATAATCATTCAAGATTTCGGGGACTCGCAAAAGATGCTTGTTTTTCAAAAAATGAATATTGTGAAGTTGTGCGTTGGGGACGCTCACTTTGTTGTCGATCATCTCGACTTCCCGATCTCTCCTTGCCAACGGTCATCCTTCCTGGTGTAGCACTCAACTTGGAATTATACTCGTCATCAGAAAGTTCACCCTTTTCCTGATCAGAAAGTGGAATTTTCCGACCAAATAACGCGAAAGATGCGCTTGAAGGTGATATGGGTAGAGAATTGTGAGTGTTTATATTACTAGAAGATAAATTAGGAAATGATGATAGTAATTCTGGTGGTAAATATGAAGGAGAAGAGGGCGTAGATGGGAAAGCAAAGGAATTGGATACAGAAGAGGAAGAGCCTATTGGAGGAGGCAATCTCATAGTGGCTTTATATTGGGTTTGAGATGTGGGCAAACTGGGCAAGGCTGAAAAAAAGGAAAAAGTTGTATTTGAAGTCATGTTTTCAGAAGGTAAATGACTATGGCTAGTTCGAGGCGATGCGGGTGGTGTTAGTTGGATAGTAAAACCAGACGAGAAAGGTGAGTACCATTGATTATTATTTTCTCGATCACCATTCGACATTGAAGCTGTAGGAGCGGGACTCATGATATTGTTTGTAGTCGTCAATAATGATGAAGGTGCGTATTCAGTATGAATAGAAGCAGACTTGTTATGATTAATAGCAGTAACATCCGCATAAGTGGAGAATCGAGTTGTAGAATTCAAAGATGGATTCGAGATGGATTTATTACGAGATAGTGAAGGGTGAGATGCAGCGGGTACATTTGGTCGCCAATGAGGATCTGGTCTTTGATAATTTAGAATTTTTTTGCTGATCTCCGGTGATGGTGCCTTGATTGGAGGTTGTGGTATCGAAGGACCATTAGAATTATGGGAATTATAACTTGGCATTATCCGCTTGTTGTTGTTGTTGTTGTTATGATTGTTATTGAGAGAGTGAAATGGGCTATTATTTAGATGCTGATTTTGATATTGAGTGGGCGAAGTATTATTATGATTAAGTTGTTGGCGTGGTGATTTTTGCCAAAGAGGATAATTTGTCGACTTTGAAGGTTCAATTTGTTGTTGATTAATTCTCTGAGAATCAACTGGATGAGGTGAACCATTTTGATGCTTCGATTGATATCCGCCTGATTTGTCTTGTTTAAAAGATCTTGATTCATTTTGTTGTATTTGAGGTGATGATGATGCTGATGATGATGACTGTTGTGATGGTGGTTGTTGCTGTTCTTTTTGGTTATTTTGATTATTATTTTTACCTCTTGTTCTTCTCCGTCGTCTGCGATTACCTGGTTTACCAGTACGTCCATCTGGACTAGAATCAAGTACACTTTTTTGCTCATTTGTCTTACTAGGAATAGTTCCTCCTCCTAAACTATGGAGACTAAGTTCGGAATGATCATCAGAGATAATACTTTCGACTTCAGCGTCACTTTCCTGATTATGTAAAGTAAAGTGATTTGTTTCTATCTGCTGCTGGTGGGGATTCAATGGATTTGCGAAATCAATCAAAGAACTATTCGATTGACCATGCAAAGGAGGATTGTTGTTTGATTGCAAAGTGGGTGATTTTTCGTCGAATTCAGAGTTATTCTTCCCTACCTGACTATGCAAGTGTGGATCAAAATTAAATTTCTCTTCAATCTCATAATCGGATGATTGATTGTGCAAGACACTTTTACTTTCGATCTTTTGACGAGACACAACATTTATTCGTTCTTCGTTTCGAGCTTGCAATGGTTCAGACACATCTATTGTAAATGTTGATTTGGATTCTTCTCTCTCAATCGGTATTGGACTATTTTCATCTGATGAACTATGATTACCACTACCAGATGAGGATGGTAATGACGCAGACGATGATGACGAAGGACCATCGTCAACCAAAGGTAAAGTATTGCCATATGGTATTTCTCCTAGTTGTTTATGTCGAGAATTCTGACGTCGAGAAGATGCGAGGTGTGAATTCGATGTCTTTTTAGATAGTTGCGAAGCATTATGTGTAGGTAAAGATAAAGACGTTGACGAAGATGATGACATGTCAAGTGGTAGACGTTTACTTTTTTCGTCCGTGCTTGAAGATGCCATCGAGTCTTGACGTGGAATAATCCACGGATTGAAAATCGTTTTGGCGTAACTACCGACTATGGATCCAGCCATGTACAATCTAAATTTTTCGCTTAGCTGATGAGAGTGTTGTTGCCAATCGGCGTTGTTTGCTTGCTATTAATACATCAAGGGAAAGAGATAAATAGATTTGTTAATATTTATCATTATCACTGATATAATAGACGTTAAATGAAATTCTATATATCCAAGAAATATCCATTTAATAATCTATGAGGGACGCAATTGATAATAAAAAAAGTCGGATAAATTTTTTTATTGGTAAATTCGATTTCTTATTATATGCGAGGTAACATGTATGCGCTCGACTGTGTTTTGGAATTCTGTCTCGGCGCGCGCGTTAATATCTCGATCACCGTCATTGTATGCATTCAATCGGTTCTGTGTTTCATCTTGGTAACATCTTGGTAACTTTATCGGTTGCTGATATATTCAATTTGGCTGGAGGTAACAATAACAATAACGACAACAGCAACAGCAACAACAACGACGACGACGACGACGACGACAACGATAATAATAATAATCATAACGATAATTAATTACCTTATATACAATTGCCAAGGCGAATAAGATTGCCACGACGATCAACACGACGGCAGATGACCATTCGGGCACAGGTATGTTAAGAAATTCAAAAAAAGAATATATAGATCGGGTTGGGGTAGCGAAACCAGAAGTTTGCAAGGAAGCTATATGCAACGGTGGTGCTTTGTTCATTGTTATAATATGGTTGATATGGTCTAAAGACATATATATATATACGTAGCTAAAAAATAGATAGAAAGGAATGCAAACCAGTGCAACACACAAGATAAAGAATTAGATAGAGTGTGCATACAAAGTATAATAATTAGATATCTAAAACTTTTTTCACTTCTAGAATTCAAGAATTCAATATTCCAAAAAAAAAATATTATTGCTCACTTGAAAGGTGTACACCAAAGAAATATCCTTTCTGTCCCAAACCTGAAACGTAATAGGGGTTTCGGCAATTGGGTAATAGTTAACTGCGGTATCAAAGCTTAACCGATCAAAAGAAAATTGTTAAGACCGAGGAACGAAGCGAACTAATAAATGGCTCAAATCCAGCAGGTTCGGCACATACATGCAGCATGATTTATTAGAAGCGAGATCAAATGATCAAAAAATATCAATCGATATAATCGATATAAGAAATGAGAACGGAGGTGATCGGAGTGCGATCTAATATAATACGTAATCAATCCACTATCTAATATATTAATCAGCAAAAGCATGATTAACAAATATATCTTTGATAGAATGCAATTCAAGATAGTTAATCAAATTGCAATAATGATAAGCATTATCGTTATTGTTAAGTTTGTTAATAGCAAATGAGTTATCTTTTTTCTGTCTGTCTGTCTGTCCGTCCACAATGAGATTTGATTGACAATTATGGGCCCCATTTAGTTTATCATCACATTTATTTGTTCCACAAACTTCCACAAAAAGAAAGTAAATTCTTTGCGATTAACTTCATTTGTTTATTCAATAAAGAAATCCGATTATCATCTATTTATGGAAATTAAATAATCGCTCGTTTAAATTATAGTAAAAGATTAAATTAACTCATTTTACAGTTTTTTCCCGTCATCGTTTAATTAGACACGATTTGTGTCCGATCGATGTTTTTACATAAATCACAACCACGCAATCCTTTAACGACATTTTGAAAATGACCGGCAACTTGCAGGGTTACTTTAAGACCTATGACATATTATGTGAACGCTGCGAATCACAAAACAATCATAACATATATTTCTTAAATCAGTTACAGTTACGGGACATTTTATGAGCTTGTATGTCTTTGAGACACTTGAATAACTAATAATTTGCAATAAAAAATATTTGATTATTAAATGTGCATCAACCAAACAAAAAAAATCCAAATTAAGCATTAATTACCTTTCCACCTATTTATAAAAAGCAAGAATGAAAAAAAAAGAAACTTAGCAAACATTCTCAAATAGGCTATGCATGAGATAATCTAATAATAAGACTTACAGCAAAAATATACTTCGTGTTGTTTCGTAGTATTCAGATGACGTTCAAGATCTGAAGTCATATATAATAGATTCTTGTAGTTATTCTTTGACTTGTTCATGATCTATTTATTATTCATCTATATTTACCTTCGCTTTTCTTAAAATTGCGATTACAGTATCCACAGTTAAGACTTCTGATCATAGTTTTGCACCAAGGATTTAACTTAATACTTCTTTCGCGAGATTTTTCATAAAGATCAATAAGGTTGAGATTGTAATTACGGGGAATTACATTATCTTGTTTCTTTACATCGAATCTGGCAGTAAGATTTTTTAGATTTACTCCATCAATATTTTGGTTATTGTACTCAACATAGTCATTATACATTTCTTCTTCACCAGACTCATCATCAATAAATTCATCGTCAATAAATTCATCGTCAATAAATTCATCATCAATAAATTCATCATCGTCATCCTCAACATTGTGACCAACATAATCATCACCATCGTCATCATCATCATTAATATTAAATTCGTCAAAATAATCATCATCACTGTCAGTTTCTTGATTAACTAGTAAATTATATGAAAAGATTTAATAGTGAGGTGAGCCACAATCTATAAATTATACACAATATATACTAATAATTTCTATATCTTCTTCTGTTAATTTGTTGATGATGATGATGAAGTAAAATTTGCAGACCATGTGCCTGATTAGTAATTACAGGCCGTGGGTATGTTGGACGAACATTTGTCTGATTAACGAATGGGGGAACATTTGCCCGATTGGTGGCCGGCTGACGAACGTTTGCCCGGTTGGCAAAGACAGGCTGACGAACGTGAATCGCAGGCTGACGAGTATTATTTGCTTGGTTACTAAAGACAGGCTGACGAACGTGAATCGCAGGTTGATGAGCGTTTGCCCGATCAGCAGAGACAGGCTGACGAATATTAATCGTATGCCGGCGAATATTATTCGCCTGATTGGTAAAGACGGGTTGACGAACCTGAATCGCGGGCTGACGAACATCATTTGCTTGATTGGCAATGAAAGGCTGACGAACATCATTTGCTTGATTGGCAATGAAAGGCTGATGAACATCATTCGCTTGATTGGCAATGACAGGCTGACGAACGTTGATCTCAGGCTGATGAATATTATTTGCTTGATTGGCAACGACAGGCTGACGAATGTGAAATCTATGCCGGCGAATATTAATTCCTTGATTGACGGGTGCAGGCTGCGGATTATTCTGAAGATTCACCTGAATTTGACGACGATTTCGCTCCTAATAGAAAAAAGGGTAATCATGGCATATATAATCATGACATATAAAAGTATGTGGTCAAATACCTCCAGTAGCATCTGCTCATCCCATAAATCACATGTTCTTCTCCGGCATCTTTCAGTAAATTTATCCCATAGGTCACCACATTTATAGCAACTAACACAAATCGAGATAATTTAGTCGACCCATTAAAGTGCAAATCAAAGACTAAAATTAAGGTAGAGAAACTTACAATTCTGTCTTACATCTGCATGTGATATGATTACATCCGGTATATAGTTCGACGATGGTTCGGCAGCTAGGACAACGCCTCCAATTTTTGTTTTCTGCCATTAGAAGAATAGCTTGATCTTCTGGATTACGCTCATCGATAGGTAGTGCTTGATATTGTTCGCAAGTATATCCTTGAATCATCAAAAGTTTTATTAGAAAACAATAACTAAGAATCATTCTGACTACAACTGACTTTCGTCATGAAGAAAATTCTCATATAAGCGAGTTTTTTCCCAACCCAAGTCAGTATCGAATAAATTATACTATCGTGATAGAAGAAACCCTCATTATAAGAAAGAATTAAGGCCAACCCGATCACACTTTCTTATAACGTGAGTCATATATAATTTGCTTACCCTTATGCCAAGTTACCTGACATGTTGGACAAAAAGTAATACGACACATTGGACAATGGATAGAAACATCCTTTTCACCAGGTCTGACTTCCCAATCAATGGGAACACTGCATTTTCCATTGGGACAATACACCTAATAATTATTGTTAATATTAAGTAATAACCTTATGCTTAATCGATCTAAAAAAAAATACCTTATTTTCCATCAAAGATTCTGCAAATTTTTGATTCCATAAATCCATCCCATCTTTACCTAATGCTTTATCCGCTATTTTCTCAGAGATTTCAGTATCACAATTGAAAGGACATCTAATAGGAAATTCCACATCTTGTTCCGAAAGACGAGAGTTTAAAAAGTTGGCCATGCATTGCAGACAATACCCGTGAGCGCAATTTAGCACAACACCATAGATAGAGTCTGTGCTGCTCGATGCCATATCATCAAGATTCTCCGAGAACGCGAAAGTAGAAAAGTATTCAAAGCAAGTATGACATTGGTGATTTCTTAAATTCATGCCACTTCTCTGAGAAGTATATGTTGTTTGATAGTTGGAAGTTTGTTGATCTGATAATGTGGAGGTATTTTTGCCTTTTCCTTTGTCTTGGTCAAAAAAGTCGAATATTCCAATTCTAGCGGCTTCAGCTTTACTAGCTTCAATCGCTTCCATAAACTAGGACAATTTTATGAAAAACTTAAGTCAAGCCCTGGAAAATCTTTGCTTTTGAAACACAAACGTGTAAGCAGGAAGCAAAAAAAACCTGGAGCTGTTCGGCATATTCCCAGTCGCGCTATTCGAAGAGGTTAGCTAGTAAATAGTATAACAGACCTAAAGGCTAAAGAGGTTTACCTGAAAAGCAGTCATCGAGTCTATTGTTTCTGATAAATCAGGCAAGTGTTCAGGTTGTTGACTAACAGAATTTCGTTGTGGTAAAGAGGTGGTTACTGTGTTTCCGTTGAAATTCATATTTAATCAAATGGCGCGCTCAAAAATTTATTAAAAGTTCATTAAAGTAATTGATGAAGGAATCCATTACATATGTATGTATGGTACATCGATATTGTGTCCTCAATATCATTAAGACTAAAATAGAAATAATAAAGTTTATCTTTATTTCAAATTTCGTATCTTGTGAATAATCCGCGTTAATTAAATAATATTATGAACTGCGATCAAATCCTTTATATGTTATTGTTGGGATGACTAACGATGTAGAATTCTCCGAAAGATGGATGCTTTCAAAAAACTATCCTACTATGTATGATAATTAACAACACACATCCTTTTCAATTTTAAGAAATAAATTAAATATACGAGTATAATGATTAATTGTCGTTTTTGATAGTGATGACGATGACGATGATGACGACAAAACGGAGAAATTACGAAACGATGGTTGATTGTCAATGCTGATGCTGATGCTGATTTAAGGATGATTTCCTCTTTTTGAAGAGTTGTCACGAAATACTTTCGAAATAAATCTCTTGAATATGAAATTTCTGTCTTTGTTCTCCTCTTGAGCAAAACTGCAATTTCCGCATCAAGACTTGATTGATTGTGCCTGTAAGGACAGTATTAAAGATGTAATATAGCCAATCATCTTCTTGCTGTATTACGCCGCTGTTTTTTCTGGGAACTTCCACCTCCACCGTCTGGTATCCCTCGTTTTTCTGTTTTACCATAAAATATGCGAATCAATTATGTCATCTAAATTGATTAACAGAGAATAATTGATTACAATCATGCTTACCAGCTAAAATTGGAGATTGAGCATTCATTTTTTGATGTGGTGATCCAATTGTGATATTGCTAACTGATGGTGAAGGTGTCGGATTTGGTGTGGGTGTTTGTATTTCATTATTCATCGTTATTGATGTTTCCCCGATAAGATCATCTTGTTCCATTTTTATTGAATTTTCGTCTTTAATTGTATAGGGGAGAATTTCTTGATTTGCTTGTATTGGTAATTGCGAGGATTGTGCCATTGACCAGGTCAAGCCTCTGAATGCTTCTACATATTTTAATAGATTAACAATAAACTATCTTTTTGAGAAACAGATCGAGGAAAAATTTAAAGCTTACGTATAGGTCCTACACGCTTTTGCATGGACTCCATCATAACTCCTTGTATTAAATCAGAACCTTCTGCAAGCTTGATTAAAAAAAAAAGAAATTTAGCTTAGCATGTAAAAAAGAAAAACGTGATTTCGTCACATAGTAACCAAATAAAATTTACGTCTAGACACCGCAGCGTTCTTTGTGGAATTCCAAATTCGCTTACGACAGATGATTCGATATCATTTGGCATATTTTTCGTAACATGAGACCGTGGTATATACTCTGTGAAATTTCTTGTGCGAAATTCAAAGCTGTTTATCTTTGATGTTTGGTTGAACATGACTATCAGATGCCCGGAATGAACGACCTACATCAAAATAGAAATGCATTTAGTTTGTTTTTATTTTGATTATAGTATAAATACAATAATATACAATAATTGAGATGATTATGACACTTTACCTGCGACCCATTTTCATAATAATACACCATGGAGGCTTTCGGACAATCTAATTGACATCCATTACCCATGTCTTGCTCTTTGGGACTTCCTAATATTAACTGTATACTTGTGACGCCTGATTCAAAGAATGTTTGGTAATATCTTGGTATTACCGGATATTTTAATTCTGAATTATTAAAGATAAAAACAATAAAAGTCAGACATGTGATTGTTCATCATTAGAGAATAAAAACTTCAATATTACCATAAGTTTTTCCTATATTATCCGTTCGTTCATTGCATAATGTATATTTCATATATACATCTTCGGCGAAGAAAAATTGTGCAAAAACTTTCCAATAATGAATATCTTTCTTTGTATGATACTAAATATAAAAAATCGATCAATATACAAATAAACAAAAACCATTTCATCAAAAGACTTTTTATCACCTACATGACCCAATATAGTTTTGTCGTTCCCTAGATATTCACCGAATAGTAAGAGTCGCATAATAAATCCACCAGGTATTTGTCTGGCAATAATATTAAAGAGGTGCATTAATATGAGTATATTCACTTACAAGATTCAAAGAATATAACTTTATCACAATTATTAAAGCTTCATTTAACTTTAACATACTTTTGTATCATACGCATCTGATGAATCGGGATTCTAGGATGGTTTGCCATTGCCATTACGCTAGCAGGCATATAACTAGTTGGACTAATGGACTGGTGAACACCTGCCTGTGTCGGGAGCTGCGCAGGTGTTGTAATTACTCTTCGTGTGTTAGGGAGATTAAAGATATTCTGCATGGTCATATTTTGTTGCTGTAAATATCCGGCCGGGTTAAAGTTGGCCATTTCAGATTTCTTCGATTTATATATTATGTTATTAAAAAAATTTATACGTATATCGATATAAACCCCGCTAACGCTAAATACAAATAAAAAAGCGGGCTATTCTGCCACGACGGAAAAAAAGGGCCGACGATCTGACACTTAATAATGATCTTCAAATGTAACATACCGATACACTTATGCATACAATCATTTTTTGATTTCTTCATTTGCGTCATTGGTAGTTAATTTTCCATCTTTGGGAAAAATTACCGTGCATTCAATAATTCATTCCTTTTAATCGACAGAATGCATGGTGAACAATTCATTCTTGATCAATTGAATATTGATCAATAACAATATATTACATCTGTATTATACTAGAAAACATCAAGACAATGATATAAATACTATCTATAAATGGTAATAATGAAATCTAAAATGTCTGTTGATTGATTGATTGATTGATTGAATGAATTTAATGAAAATAAATGGATTAAATTGAATGGATTTTCCGGTGACGAGGTTGATCGAACTTCTCATGTCCTTCTGCGAATGGATGTATTCTCGAGTCGATATTTTCGAAGTTCTTTTGTGTGATCTGGCATTTCAGACCCCCATCCTGGAAGTCTTATCACCTATAATATAAAACACGTATAAGATTAAATTTTGCCAGATAGAAAAAATCAATGTTATGAAATTAGTTTTTACCATAGCAGTGATGTTATCTTCTGATCCAAGTTCTTCGGCGAGAGCGACTAATTTTGTCGCACTCAAAGTCGGATCAGTATGAATTTTAACCTATCATGCGCAAAAGAAATATAAAAAAGTTAATTAGCCTAAATGATTTTTATCTTTAAGTGAATCAACTTAATTTATATTATGTATTTACTGACACAATCAACAATTTCTTGATTACTTAATACCGAAGTAACTCCATCAGAAACTAAAACTAAGAATGCGGCATCATTGCCTTTTATCCTTTTATTCATTATATCTGGCTCAGCTGTAATACCAAATTTTTTCAGTTTTGAATCACCCAAAGCACGAGTATTTGCCAAACTTCCGAGAAACCTTTCAGCGCCAAAAGAATCAGTGATTACATATCCTCCCGATTTTCTTAGGCGATCATGTTCTGTTGTTGCGTTTGGATGATGATCATAGGATAATGATACAGCTTTTCCAGTAGGCACCTCACATAACAGCACTCTGGTATCGCCAACATGAGCAACTGTGATATCAAGTTCTTTGGTAGACCAAAATGGAAAACGATCCAATGATTTCACAATGGCTACGGAAGCTGTTGAGCCAACTGCTTGACCAATTGAGCCTATCAGTTCATAATCAATTTTCAGAAAAGCTAATGTGAGTCTTTGTTCAAGTGTAAGACTTGATGAACCGGAGATCGTGGATGGAATTGATGAAATTGATGGCGTTGTTGGTAAATGCTGAGTTCCCGATACGGACGTTGAGGAAAAGTTTCTCGTTACCGATAAATTACTATTGTTATTATCGGTATTTTCAGATGAACGATATCGAGGAGGATTATTAAGTAACTCGGGGCTTAGTAAAGGTATTAATGTCTTGGGTTTAAATCTGCGAAAATAACTAATAAGAAATTTTAATTTAGATTAGATATTCTTTTGAGCTATATATCAAGGTTTCATGCCAATAACCTTACTCACCCTCCAACCTTACGCCATGAAGAGACAATTCCGTCAGCATCTGACGCTTCAACTTCTTCAATCTGCTTATGAAGATTTTCTGTAAGGTAATCAGCACATAACGACCCACCATGACTATTCATAATGCAAGTTGATTAGTCTTTTTTCATTACAAATACAAAATTAAAACCGTACCCATCAAATATAGCAAAGTAACAAATCTGTCCAGCTTTCCCTTCCTCCAATTGAAACTCGTTCTCTGATATATTCGTGCGTTCCTTACTATCATTTTCAACAAAGGATTGGTTGTTTACTTTCCGTTCTGCCTCATCTTCTCCAAAATCTAATACTACCGATCGGTATCGATCCTCATTGTATTCTCTTGTCCCTCGCGTAGATCTGTAAGCATAAGGGAATAATTTGTCACATTGAGCAAACAACCGAGTATTTAACTTTGCAATGCTTGGTTACTAACCCGATGCCGACCAAATGCCTCGATTTCTCGAGATGCAGACGATAGGTTTCGCCTTTACTCGTTGACTTAGCTATATAATAAACTTGTGAATTTCTGGACACAGAATTACAAAAATGCCTAAAATGTGCTGCCTTTGTTGACTGAGACGTAAGAAGAATAGGACGAAGGAAGGAAGTAGATGTATTTATTTTACGGGTCCACATATTATTAAGGGATATTTTGAATTTACGAACGCGCAAAAACAAGCTACGAAATATGAGATATACGATAAATTCATCTTTCAATAAATTTCGTCTACTGTAGAAAATTCAAACAAGTTAATCTGTGTCTCTTGATTTCTCGATAACAAGATCCAATACATTTCATGTAGTGCTGCGATATGCATGTTCAATTTGCCGAAATCATTTTTTGAATAACGATAAATATCAAACATTGCTCTTTTTGATTCATTGAGATCATTGTACTACTTTGATTTTTGATAAATATTCAGATTATCATTATTTGAAAAGTTTTGACATTGATTTTTGATAATAATCAATTGCTAATGAAATATTTATCTCTCTAATTGCCTGTTACGTATATCGATATTGATTTTGAAAAAATAAAAAATTTACAAAGTTAAAAATTTAAATATAAGAACAATCTCCATATAAGAATACAATTTTGAGAACAATCACGGGATTTTTCTGGTTCACTCATGTTTTATAAAAAGATATGACTGTATCTCTTATTTAAAAGTTGTAACAAGTAATAAAATTACAATAAACCAAGTTTTATACCAATAGAAAATCATAAAATACAACAATCGGAAGATCATAAAATACAACAATCGGAAAAGATGAAAAAGAAAATTGAATAAAATCAAAAATTTACTCTTAGAGAAAAATTTCACTTTCTAATTAAGAGCAGGGATCACTCGCTTAAGAAATTCTGTGACGTTTCTTATCTCTTCTACATCAGATGAATGCCCCATCCCCTCATAGGTTTTGAAATTTACAGAATATCCATTCTCTTGGAGCAAATTCGAAGTTTCTTTACCAAATTGATGCGGCACAACCTAAGTAATTAATCGCGCACACAAGATTAGAAATTAATAAATTAATGGATAAGAAGTAGCCACTAAAAAATACCATATCCCAGTCACCATGTCCCATAAAGATTGGCGTTTTTTTGTTAGTTTCCGTTGACATCTATAAAAAAAATGTAAAAAACAAACAAACTTTAAAAAAGACGTGAATTTACAAATAGCACAATCTGAATAGAATGCTAATGTTAATAGAACCATTAAAATCTTTTTTCTACATGGAATGTATCCGCTTAACCTAATAGGAAGATAATGATAAGTTGGAAGCACAACACGATAAAAATATATGACACAATAAAAATAAACATACGAAATTATTCCAGCAAATGGATATTCGGAAGTTAAACCAATGGCAAGGGCCATAGCTCCACCTTGTGAGAATCCACCAACTACTATACGATTTGATGGAATTCCAGAACCAATCTCTTCTCGTATTAGACTATTCGCTTAATCACAGAAAGTATAAATACTAATAATAATGAAGTTGCAAAATACAAGTAAAGCAAGCTGACCGAACTACCTGCTGCAATTGATGCTAGCAATCCTTGTTCATCTTCGCGTGATTTCATCATATTATTAATATCACCTAACGCATGAATATCATACCTTTGACGAAAGAAAATAACATTAATTCCGTTCCTTAACAAAAATGTCTAGTTTTGAAATTTGAAAATTGATACCATGCAGGCATTACAGCACCACCATTAATAGTTATTGGTTTATCAGGGCTTTCATAAAATAATAAAACAACCTCTTGGTTAGTATCAATTACAAATCCATGACATCATATTTGAAATAAAATGCTCACGCATTCGGGAAAATGAATTTAACATGAGGAACTTCTCGAGATATTTGTGTGCCTACAGGCGACCAACCACTCCCACTGTCACCAAGACCGTCTTTAATTTGGGGTTAAACAAGTCATTTTTTATTTTTTGACTCGATGATGCTAATTTTCAGGAAACTTACGAAAGAAGAAAACAGTTGCGGAGTGGGCCCTTGATGCCTTTTGGACAATTGCTGTGAGTTGTTGAGTCATTATAATTTTAAACTATCTATCTTCGAATCTGCCAGTTAAACGAATCGAACATTCATATAAAATCACATGATTAATTAATTGTATTTCGACGCGTTTAAGCTGTATATTTTTTGGGAGGCTCGACAATATCGAACTAAAAAATGGAAAATAAACGTAAACAATCTACATCACCAACCATGCCTGTGCCCGAGTTCCCGTCTGATACGCTTCTCTTGCTTTATGACCAAGGCACAGAAAAAAACATTAATATAACCAAAGAAAATTCTTTCACACTCAATGGTAACTCGGCTATAAATAAATACATGACACCAACACTAACACGACGGTAAAGTAAGAAAACACTGGCATTCTTATGTCAAAATTTTAGTAGCTTAATGGTGCTTTAATTAACAATGACACTTGACTTATTTTCTCAAGGAAAAAGGAGGAGAAATCGTTCAGGCGGTTGAAATTTTCAAATTTGGGTAATATCCATTTTAGTTTAACTCTATAATTGAAGAACAGTTTTCATATTGTTCATAATTCTAGGTCCTCCTCTTCGAGTAAAACTTTCGGCAAACGAGATAATAGAAGAAATAACCGAAAAAGAAGAGAATGAAGCGCCTCCGCAACAAAGTACTTTATTCTTAATTAATGACACATTTTGTTTTTTTTATTATTTGAATTATCTGATAGCAATCTTAGTATCTATAAAAGATGAAGCAACTGGTAAAGAAAATATTTTACCACCAATAATTCAGGTATTTTGCGCATTTGAAAGTAGTTTTTTTTTTTACTTTACATATAAATAATTATCTTTTCACCGATAGCAAGTCTCCACTAATGCGCCGAATTCGAATAAATCAGGAAAGATTGTACGTGTATAAAATTAAATCCTTTAATTGATTTAGTATTTGTTGTTAACCATTTTCATCAAAAACAATAGTTTAAAGTCAACAGTAATGAATTTCAACTGTTACATCTTATTGGTCGAGGTGGCACGAGCAAAGTGTACAAGGTCCAGCATGAAAACGGACAAATATACGCTTTAAAAAAGGTCATTTTTACTCCGGGCGACCAATCTTCGTATTCATGTTACATCAACGAGGTAAATCTATTAAGAAAACTCGCGAATCGCGAGAGTATTGTCCGACTATACGACGCAGATATTAATTGTGAGAAAGGATACTTATTGATGGTTGGTCTCAATTTAATATTATTTATTTATTTTGAATTTTTTATTTTGTCATATTTAATTTTTTTTGTAGTTGATGGAATGCGGCGAAAAAGACTTGGCAAATGTACTAAGTCAATCTAGAAATAATAATTCATTAAATTTGGAACAAATAAAAATATATTGGAAACAGGTATTGCACCAGCCGGAAAAGTGAATAATAACACAGTTCGTTAATTATTTATTATATATATTTCATTTAGATGCTTCAAGCAGTATGGACCATTCATCAAGAAAATATTGTACATACGGACTTAAAGCCTGCTAATTTCATAATAGTCAATGGTTCATTAAAGTTAATCGATTTTGGAATAGCAAAAATCATTGCGTTAGATAAAACCAGTGTTCATACCCGTTCTCAGGTATTCCAAAGTTTCAGACTGGCTATTTACCACATCAATAACTGAAATTTGCTCTCTAGATAGGAACTCCCAATTACATGTCACCCGAAGCTCTCTGTGGAATCAGTGGGACTTCCGGAGCAAAAACAATAAAGGTTGGTTGATCTTTATTTTCGATTCTTTCTAATTCTTTAAATTCGTCTTGATCCTTAACTCTCGTTAAATGGAACGTCAGTTAGGACCTGCATGTGATGTATGGTCCTTAGGATGTATTCTGTTCCAAATGGTATATGGCTGTACACCATTTCAAGAATTCTCTGGAATGGAAAAATTTAACAAAATTCAGGATTCATCTTATCATATTAAATTTTCAACTACATCATCATCATCATCACAAACTAATGCCAAAATAGTCCAAGTTGATGATAATTTATTGAGAATTATGAAAGGTTGTCTTTTGCGCTTGCCAAAAGAAAGGCCGACCATTTCGGTATTATTATCGGATCCTTTCTTAAAAGAACCAGGTATCTAATTTCCATTTATTTATTTTTATTTAACTCGAGTCACGTCAACAATATTTATTTTATAAACGGAAATGTATTTTCGTATGATCAATGATGAACTATTTAGAAATACCTTTGATACTTCCCGATGTTGTGCGTGAAGTATTAAAATACGTTGGCAATACCGAAAATGCCGATTCAATTACAAAGGTTGTTTTTTTCATCGTCTGTCAATCATTTATTATGCCAATGTTTTTTAATTTTTCGACTAAATTTATTCACGATTAGTGTATTATAAAACAAATAAAAAATAATCAAAAATTGGATTTTCGAAAGTGGGATGTTGAAAGTCCAAATTGAAGTACCTTACGAGGCAAGTATTACCGTGAAAGTTACTGTATACCTTTCTTGGATTGATTGGCCAGATACTATATACGGTAGATGTGGAGGTGGAATTTATGAGACACTGGTGGGTTTATTAATACCACAGTCTCCATTTTATGTATCCTCACTCGTCCAGTAAAATACTCTGAACCTCTTATAAATAGGTAAATTTGTAAGAGATCCAGGGTATTACACTGAAAAAGAGGAACAGTGGAAGAGTTTATTAATTTTTCCAATAATTCTTTAATATATTTAGAACAGATGTATTGTAGTGAGATATTCGATTGAGCTTATTAATAATAACAATCATTACATATATTGCAATTATTGATCGAATCTTCTACATGAACGTCGTGCTGGGGATAGAATAATCCGATAATCCGTGTTGTATAATATATTTTAAAAAAACAAGTGTTGGCAACTTTATTGGACATAAAATTTTATAAAAATGTGGCGCGGTTTATTATGTCCAATTGCCAACACTGAATGAAGAATGTATATTTCAAAATATTTTCTACGTATTTTAAATTGTACATATATTAAATAGATAGTTATTTTGTACATTAGATTTTATTGTTGTTCCGTCGATCTTTACCCAATATTTGATGATATATGTCGAGTGTGTGTGTTTTCTCATCGCAATAAAACAAGCGAACACACCTACCTACTATATGACAAATAAGTGTTCTTTGCGACATGTTCTTCAAAAAATGGCGGATTCTGCATTGTATAAAGTATATCGACATTGGGTATTACTTAGGACTGATTTCTGATGCGGAATATCGATTATGCACTAATCTGTTCAGAATGCTTATTATCCTCATGGGATTTTGGAGTTGGGAGGTTCAAATAATTGTTGATGTTGGGAAATACTCGATGAATCAACAACATTTGTATTATTGACGGGAGCTGAACTATTGTTATTTGATGATTTTGATAATTGATCAAGTTTACTTTTCAACCTTTCATTTTCTTTACGTAGTTCCTCAATTTCGTGATTAAGTGATTTGAATTGACGACCGAGAGACCCCTGAGATAAAATTATAAGAATTAATATTGATAAAAAACAAAGCTTGAATTTAACTTGATTTCAAGCAAAGAGGACATTATAACGAACTAAAAAGTCTTGCATCCTTAAATAAACAACCTACCAAATAAATTGTAGTGTCAGCAGCAATAGATTTGCTTTCAGCGATATTTTCATTCATATGTAAGAGTTTGTGCATCATGGTTTCTATATGAAAAAGCAATGAATTTGGGTCTAAATTTAAACTTTGACCACGTATCAGAGTAGACATGGGAGATGTATTCGAAGAATTTCCTAAATAAGTAGACTGGGGCGAATATGTGATGTCTGAATTTAAAATTTTTCCTATAAAAGAAATATATAATCAAACTTTTAAGCAAAACTTTAATTTAACTTCACGATTGCATAAAAGATCAATTTACCAGGTGAAGGCATGGGATCATCTACTTTTGTAGCTGCATCAGAAACTGAAACTTCAAATCTACCCTTCTTGGTATGTGGTTTCTCTGTAGTTTCGTGGTTAACTTCATTTTCTGTATGGGCTCGATTCAATTGTTTAACATAACTTTCAGTTTGTTGACGACGAGTTATCTCTTGGTTTTGGTGTGCATCATGGAAAGTTGGTCCATCACTTCGAGAAATGGTTGATTCTCGAGAAAGACTAGAATAAGAGTGTAGCGAATTCTCTCTCGACACATTAGGTGCTGGAATATTAGCTGATTGTATATCAATAGGATTAACTGAGTTTGGATGTTGAACTTCGAATCGGCCTCGCTTGCTGTCTAGAGCCATTTTAGAATGAAAAATGTAATCATAAATTTTCATAAATGGACATAAAAAGTCACAAGATTTTTGTCACCTGTTATATTCTCGCTTGATTTCTCCTTATTTAAAATGGGATGCTGGATGTTATCAGAGTCATATTGTGATCCTCCAGAAGGGGATCTTTCTCGTGACTTCGTGTTTTCCATTACGCTGAACCTTCCTTTTTTTATTTCTCCTTGTGTTTGAAGCTTATTCGGTTGCTGCTGATTCTCTGAAGTTAAAGAAGAATTCGAGTTGCTATTATTCACAATAACGCCTTCCTCTTTTTTTTGTGGAAGCGATGATGTAGATTGATTTTGTATTGCTGTCATATTTGCGCCAGTCGAAGTCGGATATGATTGAGACAATCGATGGTTATGATGATGAATTTGCGCTGTTGGTACAGAAGATGAAGTTGATGTTTCCGAATTAAATCTTGAAGGTTTTATTGAAGAAACTCCATCGAAATTTTTCTTTTCGGTGACTTCTGACGCAGTAATAAATGATACTTTTTTGGCGGCAGAAAGTGAATTATCTTCCAAGGGTATTGGCGCATCATCCTCTTGTTTTTCAGCATCCATCAATTTATTCATATTTTCATCTTTGTTTTCGGCATCTGCAAAATCCCATGAAACACCTCGTGTATAAGTTATAGTTTTTTGTTGTACTCCTATTTCAGTAGAAATAAATTTAGCATATATGTATAAATGCATGTAATTCAATGAAATCGACATACTTTTGTGTGGCCGTTGTTCTAGTGGAGGCAAACTCTGTAACAATTTTGCCACTAGAAAATCTTTTTTCCTTGCTTGTTTGAAGAATGCGTGATTCAAAAGTCTTTCTGTGTTTGGTCTTTAAGAGATTTTTTTTGATTAAAAACGACGATCCAAAAGAATGCGAAAAAATCATTATAAAATACCTTTTGGTGGGATCTTTTTGTAAACATGTATCAATCATTTCTTTCAGAGATTTCGAGTACTTATGTTTAGTTTTTTCTCTATTAAGAGTTGGAGGATCGCTTTGAATAGTAAGCATAAGCACCTATTTTAATAAAAACATATTACTATGGGTAATGAAATTAGAAATAATAAATTGCGATCTTTTAATCGTAACCAACCTTCAATGGTGGATATTTAGCAAATGGTGCATGGCCTGTCGCTAACTCAATAGCTGTTATGCCAAATGACCATATGTCGGCTTTGTAGTCATAACCAGCTTGTTCCATGACTTCGGGTGCCATCCAGCATGGCTTCATTTAAGATCGAGCAAGTATAAGTAGAATGTATATATATATATTGTAATGGATATTCTAATTACCGTCCCGACAAAAGTCCTACGATAATTTTTTCGATCTCCATTCTCGAGAGAGGAAGATACGCCAAAATCCGCAAGTAAAACTGATCCATCGTCATCCATAAGAAGATTACCTGCTTTGACATCTCTATAGGATCCAAAGATCGTGTTTTATTGTGATTAAAATTGATGACAAGAGACCCAACCAAATATCGTTTAAAAATTACTCACCGATGAATATGTTTATGCTTATGTAAATAATCTAATCCTTGTAACGCTTGTTTCAATATCGCGGCTATTACCGTCTCCTCAAGTCCGTCAGGATATGCAGTTTTCATAATATCCAAACACGAGCCTACAATGCAACAAATTAAAAAAGAACCACATTGAATTTACCTTTTTATGATTAAAGAAAACTCCGTGAAAAAAATGATGACAATGCACACCGGCTGCCATGTAAGGCGTGACTATATACAATTTGGACTCTTTCACAAATGAACCATAGACACGTAGTATATTGGCATGTTTCGATAAAGACATCGTTTGCGTTTCTCGCTATTTAAATGATGCAATAAATTTTGATCATAATATATACTATTTTCTACCACGATAAAGAATTTGATAACTCCATTTACCCTTAATTCATCAATTTGATCTCTTTCAAAATAATCCATATCAATTATCTTCACTGCAACTTTTTTATTCAAAGGTATATATACTGCATTATACACAATAGCTGAAGAGCCATATCCTATTAATTAAAAGGGACGATGAAAGGTAAACGGAAAGACTTAAAGTAAGCGAACAAGGTTTATATCTAAAAGACAGACTACATAGCTTTAAATAAAAAAGGTCAAATATTGCTTTTCTACCAATAGGATTACGAATGTCATAATCTTCGAAATTACTCGAAAATACGTGCTCGTCCGTATTGTTATTGGCCATAGTAGTTACGGAAGATGCACTCATGTTTCTTCGTGAACTTTGTGAAGGTGGTTTTTCCATCAGAAAAGTAAGACTTACAAATAGACTATAGCTAAAGTCATTTCGAGGAACGTTATCGTGGTTTATCGTTGATTTCTAGATTCTAAAATTTCTAAAATTAACGTTTAATTTAGTGTGTAAATTTGAACATCGACAGATGTCATTGGGTCCTGTTACTGCATTTCATTTCACTAGTAAATCTTAATAACGATAAGGATCAAAAAGGTGCAAATTACTTTAAATTGAAGAAGACAGTGCGTTCATTATCGTTATAAATGAATTGGATTTATCGTTATGATTTTTTAAGGTATAATTTTTGGCATTGTGAGTCATAATTCCTGACACGGGGTCTATAATTTCCAGTGTCAATGATTTCAACACCAACATGTAGAATTTGATTTTCCAATTATAGAATTAGCACTGAATTTATAAAGAAACACATCACTATAGGTCAATATATATAGCAAGTTTCAATTGTATAGATGATAATGTAATTACCCTTCTAACGAATAGTTGAATTATTTTCGAGTGTCCCATTATTCTGTTTTTCGCTGTTCTTCGTTCTTGTAGATTTTCCTCTACTTTCAAAAATTTTCCAGAATTTCAAATTTTCGTCACTCGAAGCAGTTGCCACGAATTGTCCATCAGGACTAAGAGTTGAATGTAATACGCGGGTATCATGAGCCTTGATGTTTTCGATTCTTTGCAAGGAAGGATAGGCCCAAATTGCTAGGTTGTTATCGGGGAATCCATGTGTGGTTAAAAGTTCCTTATACTCCCTAGACCAAACGATTGATGTTACTTGTGAGCCTGTATTAATTGATTGAAGCCGATTACCATTGTTCGTGTTCCAGAAATGTATATTACGATCATGTGAACCTCCACCACTGGCCAACAAATTCGTCTGCCATGGACACCATGCAATCGCCTATTTATTTAGGTGGATAAAATATTATTATTAAATGAATATCGTCAAGGATATTGTGATTAAGTTAGTTAATAGCAAATTCGAACCATACCTTTACCGCTGCTACGTGAACTTCTTTGGTATACTTTGGCAAGCTAGATCGGCAATCCCATATATTAACTCTATTGTCATTACCTCCACTGGCAAGCTGGAGTCCGTCAGAACGCCATTTTAAACCACAAATTTCATCTCTATGTCCCGATAATTCATTCACACGGTGTTCTGCTATTCTTATATCGTGATTCCATATGCTACCATCTTTACAACCTGATGATAATATAAAGTTTCGCCAAGACAAAGCGGCAACACGCGCGGAATGTCCCAACATTGATCGAATTTTTTGGGCTTTACTAACATCCCAGATTTGCGCATCACCATCACTCATTCCAATCGCCAAATGCTCTCCATCAGAAGACCACGATAAACTGGCCACATAATCATCAGCATTAGAATTTTCGCCAATAGAAGTAACATTACCGGTATCTGCATTCCATATATAAACATTTTTATCTAGACCGATGGCCAACATGTTTTTACAACTCCAATCTAGTAAGTTGAGATAATAATCATCCTTCATTCCAGGGGCATCGAGGACGCGTTCGGGCACTTTGAGAATCCGTCTCTTTTTATAGTTCTCATTGGAAGAACGTAAAGGACGATTATAATTTTGAGCAAGATCCGCTCTCTCTTTCGGTGGTGGATTTACATTAAATGCCAGAATACGTTTGTCAATTGCAATACCACATGCGCGTGCTAACTCTGATTGGTAGGCTAAATCTGTACTGTTGATGGTTTGATCAGTTCCAGATTCTCGATAAGTGATGTTAAATTGCGTAGACGTTTCGTCCATGGCTTCACGGTTTGGGATAAATCGATCAGACTGAATTTCAAGAAAAATTTAAAATTTACTTTCTCGTAAATGACACGATCTCAGTGTTAATCAAAATATTCAACGTACTTTGAATTTTTTTTTGGTTGGAGTTTTTGCTGGACCACCAATCCAATCTTTTTCAACAACATGTAATTTTAATACCTCTTTCCTTACAATACTCTTGGGACTTTTTCTTTTGGTCGACTTAAAAAAGCTATTTATAGCGACACCATGCGGGAATGCCGAGATCGATGACGAGGGTGTTGTATGATTGGAAATCGTGCTTATTGTGCTTTTCCCAGATCTATTGCGTATCGGAGTCGTGTTTAACCGATAAGTTCGTGAACTGTTCGGCGTACGCTTTCGAGAAGAACCTGATGGTGATGAGATATGATTAGGAGAAGGCAAAGAATGGGGGATTTTTGGAGTCGCCAGTTTGACAAAACTTGAGAAACCGGCAAACACGAAACAAGAATTTTCGGTAACAAATGTATAGTCAGATCATGCGAATGAAAACGAAAAGCTTTAGCGCTTGTAAGAGTTAACTGACTTTCTTTGTATTTATTCCGTAGGAGGAAGTTTTCATTAGTTGATTAAATTTCTTATACTTGATATAAACTGGAGATACATTCCAAGATGAATTTTTGTTATGATTGGCAAAAAAACGCGTACTTATTTGAGACACGAAATTTGATCTAAGCCACCGTTCATATTTCAATGAAACATACGTCAGAGGCTATCCTCGTGACTTTATTCGTCGTTACGAAATAAAGTATTTCTATAAATACAAAGAAGTTGACGGGCATTTATATTACGATCAGGAACCAGATTCACGCTATAACGATTCTAACAGTGAAGTTCACTATGTTAAAGATGAATTATATCCAGATCATCTAGATAATTAAGAACAAGAGGGCTATCTAGTTTTTTTTATTGATTCTTGTACCAGAATAAGCTAAAGGTTTTTAATATATTCTATCTTTTATCAATATAAACATTTGATTTTTAAAGATGAACCAGTGTACTATGCTTATACAGTCTTCTTATATGGTCACACAATTTGGTTGTATATGAATAGTGCGAGTATAAAGAGGTTGTGATTGTATATCGATTTAGTGAGCGGCAAAATTAATGGTGTAGTATATGGAGGTTTTTACTAAAATGTGACTACATACATGTGAAGAACATAATAACAAAGAATGTCCACACCTTTCGAGTTATATTTTTGTGATATACAAAGTTCAAAAAAATAATTATATCAAAAATATCCAAAATGTACATACGTTTGCTAATTGTCTATTTTTTCTAATTAAGTTTCTATAAATGGTAAAAATTCTGTAAATTGAAAAAATTAATTAAACTGCACAGTCTAAATTAGACTAAATTAAAAATTATATTAAGTAGTGAAATAAAACATTGATAACCTGACTTCTCAAATATCCCATCGCTCAGTACCCACAAACTCATTGCCGACTTTTTCAAGAAATTCTTGTATCGCAACACGCACATCGACTTTATCTATCCCGATCATTTTGATTGTTAACTTATAGAAATCGGGTATTCGTTTTCGTAACCTTAATAATCGCGGTACTTTTTTAACACTTTGACCTTCTTTTGATCCGATTACCCCGTCTTCTGAATCAACGTCGTCTTCTCGATTTACATCCCAACTAGTAACACACAATTCCTTCAAGAGAGTGATTACCAATGGCGACCAGGTGGTCAGCTCGCGAGGCTGATTATGAACACTAGGATCAGTCATGATAGAAATGAATCTTTCTAGCACGTTTATAGATTTCTCTATCAATGGTGGTAATAATTCAGGATCATCATCTCCGATTGTCCTATACAGATCGAATAATATTTGAAGAAAAACTGACAAGGATAAAGTTTCTTGCATTGCAAGGTTTGGCATTTTTTCCACGTATCCAGACTTCCAAAGTGCATGCCGAAGATCATGCCGAGCATTAAATTCGTGAGCAAATTTATAAGAGTTGTAGAGGCATCTTAGCCATCGATTACGACATGCTGCAGGCATTTGTGTCAAAAAATGTACATTTTCGTTAGACCAGGGTGTTGCTGCATGACTCAGTACAAGCTCTTTAACTGATTGAATGAGAACCAGTTGTGCTGAACATTTATTTAGTGCATATAATATGTCTTCATTTACTTTTGACATCGGAGGCTTTTGCTTATCATGTTGACTTGTAGGCGATATTGAATCCTTTGATTTATCAACATTACCAAGTGTATTTGACGGAACTAGTGCACCCCCACCTATAACTCCTTTAGTGTTTGGCCCTTCACTCCTACGATCGTTATTTTCAATTGAGTTTATGAATTCAACTTCAAAGAATTCATTTGGTGTTGTTTGTTTGTAAATATCTTCTAATGTTTTGGTGACTATTTCCCAATGTTTTGCATCAAATCTTGCCCCATTTCTGACAATAATATTATGGAAACAACGTATTGCCGTTTGTCCCAGCTTTTCATGTTTCCGTTTAAGCATGGCTATTAATAATGACAAGAGTTTAACTATGTATTCAGTATCAGATACAAAAGTTTCTTGAAAGCGAGCATAAATTTCTGCCATTAGACGAGTAGTTTGAATCCAAATTTCGTATGTTGCCTCATATTTTTTTGATTCAACATTGACCTGTTGCGATTGGGATGATGGTACTACTTCTTTTAGATCCTCAAATATAGGAAGTATTGCATTTCGTAGAATTTTATTCCAATAGCTTGTCTCAAAAAGATGTCCATTGGATTTTAAAGTGTCAAATAACGCCTCTAATGCTTTATTTCGCGTCGCCAATGATGCATGATCAACAATCAGACGTGATAATCCTAAGATTACAGGGAACCATTTTAAGAAAAACTGTTCTTCTTCAATATGTTGATATTTCTTCTTTTCCAAAGGAAAACTCGGCGAACTAAGCGGCGTATCTTTTTCTGATTTGTCGGAACCTTCGAGGTCCTTGACAAGCGACTTCAAGCAACTTTGCATCATCCTTATTGATTCGTTGATAATATTTTCTTCCCGAGCGTTAAATGCAAACTCTACTAAGCAATTTACATATTCTCCAAAAGCTGGCCCAATCAAGTCCAAATGCTGTCGATAGACCAACCTGATGACGCTAAACGCGTTATCAACCAGATGTGGATTTTCATCGGAAGCAGCACGACCGAATACAATAAAAATACTCTTCCAGCCCGATTTAATATTGGTTGCGCGTGCAGAAATCATTTGAATTAGCGATGAAATGATGAGATCGTGAATACCCCCGGATGGTGTATTTTTTATTATGTGTTCAAAGGGTTTAATGAATTCGCATTGGGCATTATAATGTGCAAGCTCATCCCTCTCCAAGAATTTCATGCCTAACTGTCTCAGTGAGTCAATAGAAAAGGTGGCAACAATTTGATTCGGATGGCAACCGACCGTGTTGAAATGTGGTTGAAGTATTTTCCATATTTGCGTCCATTCGAATCGAATACGTGACATATTATAGTAAGCTGTGAATTGATTGCCAAAAAAATAATTTCAAATGGAATGATGATAATAATATTCATCCTATACGGTTAGATTGATTTAATTCCAACCATTCTAATAAAAAATCGGGTCACATGATATGGTTTTGAAATTTACCCACCAATTTCCACAATTCGCTGTAAGCTGTACATTCGTGGATTCGTGACCGAGGAATCCACTTCCTCCAAAGATACTGCACAAAGAGCATTAAGAAAGTATACAATGGCGTCGCTGCTCAAGCTTACACTATTCGTGAAAACACGATCAATGGCGACAATGGTACTTTGTGATTGAAATTCTCGCATTAATCCACCAAGAGATCCTCGACGAGTTGTATTGATACTGGGACGTGGTAGTGGAGGCACGGAAACAGTCAGAGTGGAGATTGTATTTTGACCATTTGATATCGTAGGATTATTTCGACTTGGTGAGTAGTCTAAACCACTAAAGTTACCATCAGAATAATAACTTACTGAGCTGGTTGTACTATCAATTAATTGATAGCGTTCCATGGTGGATATCGTTTTCAATACAATAAACCATGATTTTTGCAAACCTTCACCATATGAAGAAGCTGCCGATAATAAAGTACGAATAGCAGCCACATTTTTGGATCGCATTTCATCCACATGATTTAAGCCGGTCAATTTTGCCAGTGACGAAACAAACGCATCTCTTTCAACATCCATTCGGAAAACACTACTAATTCGAATTGCACCCATAAATCCATCTAAACAAAGCTCGACAGCCTCGGAATTAGCTTGTGCAAATTCATTGACTTTATTAGAAGTACTTGACGTATTCTCAGATTCCTCAAAAACCAAACTTAAAGTTGCCATCACAGGCCAGCAAGCTACTGCAAACATTGGTTTCACGTGATCCGAGTGTGAACCACTTCGCCAAATGGTGTTCTTTTGAGTTTGACGATTACTCAGTAACGCATGACTTTTCTTTTGCATTTGGGAAATTTCTCGATCATACAATTCTTGTCGCTCGCGTTCATTAGCAATATTGATAGCAGCTTTGGCTACCTCTGAAATTTGCTCATCTTCCAACACAATCTCATTATTCGCAATGTCATCGAACATCGCGCCAAGAAATTCTTGTGGTAAATCGGTATTGTTATTAATGCCTCGATTATTTTTTATAAATTCCGATTTATCCATTCGACGTTTGACCTGAGCCGAATGTTGGTCAGTATTCAGCATAATGACCGAATACGCAAGAGTGTAAGCAGTATCGGCATTTGCAAATATGTCTGGATTCGTTTCGCAATATCGATCTGCAAATTTTTCCATAATTCTAGAAATTTTTTGGGATTCACCGGGTAATCGAAATGTTTGCAGGAAAGAACGTAACGAGTCCACAAAGCCAAGTCCAGTAAAATCCATACGATCCACAAACGCGTGCATAACTTTGATGGCTTCAGAATCACTTTCGCCTAAATATTCACCAATAGCAGCTTTATTCAATCCGGGTGTTGTCACGAGAAAAGATACGATATCGTTCGTGTCGTTTTTGCAAAAGTTATTCTCAGTTAGGAATTGAAGACCCTTTTGTGGTTTAGTATTAAAGAGTCGAATACCAGTTTGTAAAGTCTGTTTACGTGACATAATCTCTTGATATTGAGCTGGATGGTCATCAGAATCATTCGTACCTACACTCACGTTACTGGTATTCGCGTGTAATAGTGTGAAGCTTTTCATAGAAACATTGAGTAGCGGGTGTTTTGAGAATATTACAGGGATCTTGTCTTCAGTTATTTCCGGTGATTTTTCACGATTCTGTTGGATTTGCGGTTCTTGATCACCTGATGAATTATTACCATCAAGGTCCTTACACCATTCCACTAAAGATTGGATGATGGTCACTAGACATTTTAAACCTCTCACCTTTAGTTTTTTTTCGTGTAATGCAGCCAAATCCGCTCGATTTTCCAACAATAACCCAGACGCGTGTGCACCGATTATACTTCCCATTGCTGAGCCACTTGTATTTTTAGAGCGTCCTTGTGCCACTCTTGAAAGCGCGTTCACAATCCGCTCGAATAAACTTGCCATTGAAATATCACAATCGTAGTTCAAATAAAGATCTACAAGCGTCTGAGGATTAGCGCAGAGTTTCATTAAACCTTGTAATACCATCTGTTTTTGTTTATATGATGCATTCGACATATCTAAAAATCTCAGATAAATCTCACTGAAAAGAACTTCTAATTCTGCTTTTAACGGTGCTGCGTAATAACGAAGAAGCAAAAGAAAAATTGAGAGTGACAGTTCAAACAATTGTTCATTTGATGAAACGCCATTCTGTGATAAAGAAACACACAATGACTGACGAATTAAATTAACATAAACTTCCTCCCCGCGAAATACTAGCCCTGAATTATCCAGCATTGATAAAATTAATTCCAGCACAAGTGCTCGACCACGAATACTAATCTCTTCATTATATGGATTTGAATTTGCTTCTATACGCATGGATAGTCGACAGAATAGTCGAAAGGTTAAATACAAATCCTTTCGTAGAACATTAAAGTGACTTCGTGTTGGAATCGCTGGATTGGGAGTTTTTATATTCTTCTTTGATTCTGCAGAAACGGGAAGTATTTTTATTGAGAGATCGGTTTTAGGTGTTAGCAAAGATTTTTGTGTGTATTCTTGAGCTAAATTTACTAATTTTTCAGTATCAGAGTCCTTCGATGACCCAGAATCAGAAGAAATCTTTGAGATTTGTACTTTCTCTATCGGTGCCTCTTTATCTTGACTTAAGGTTAAATGTTCAATTTTTTTATCAGAAGAAATCGTTAAATTTTTTGGTTGATTGTTCTGAATAATTTTCTCGTCAAATTTATCATCAGTAGGAGTAACAATATGGGATTCGTTAGTCTTAGTAATAGTCTTTGAATTAGGGCTGTTATCAGAATTTAGATCCGGCTCGTGTACGTAAGGTTCTTGAAATTCTTCGCTAGTGGAAGGAGAATCAATTGCTTCTTCCCATTCGGTAATGCCGTTATTGATATTAGGATTTAGGGAGGTCTCCGCTTTTATACCGTTGTTAACATGCATATTTTTAAATCCATTCGTTAGCTTAGACTCTTCAATAGCAGCAGCTTTACTATTCCCAATTGATTTGTTATTTTCCTCTTTCTTTTGATTTTCGTAATTCGTCACATCAACTGCGTAATCTTCGCATCTTGACACGATTAAATTTGCCATTTGCGTTAATTCTCCTTTAGCAGTCGCCTGATGAATTGGATTTTTAGAAAAACAATAAATATTACAGGTGGTCTGAATAACTTTCAGTAAACTGATTCCATGCACTTGACAGGTTTCAGAAGTGACCACCGTGAGTAAAACCTTTAAAATTTGCAATTGAACAGTTTGATCTAAATGAGGTCCCACAAATCCTACACAGATAGTATGAACAACATCGTCGATAAGCCGTGCAGGATTTGGAAAGTTGCTTGGCGTAACATGGGGAATTCCTTCAACAACGGGTGCCTCACTTTCGAATGAAGTGACATCAAGGGAATTCAAATCATTCGACTCACTGAACCTGGATTGTTTATTATGAGTGTTCTCGTCAGAGCGACGATCTTTTTTAATTTGAGCATTTTTTGGAGGCGCTATTGGAGTGGATCCTTTTAATAAACCATGTGCGATCAATTTCTGCAAGGAATCTAATGCGGCAACTCTAACTTGTACAGGCATCGAAGCACTACAAGCTAATCTAAATGGTTGCCAATAATTGTCCATCATTATTTTTGGGAGATCTTCACTGGGACGAATAAACAGTGCACTGGAAACCGAAGAACGCGATCGAGGTGATTCAAGTTCCGGAGTTCGCGTCGGTTGTACTATAACCAATGATTCATTTGATGAGTTGGTGGTATTATTGCTGTTTCTATTTTCGCTAAATTTTTCTTCATTATTCTCTGTAATCTCTTTCTTTGCTCCCTCCACACTTTCCCTTTCTTCCGCTTTCCCCGTATCTTTTTCTGATATACTACTAGTGGCAGCATTTACCACAGTGGAATTGTCCGTGTCTGACGTGTTTTTTAGTTTTGCCGCATGTTCCAATCTTTTCTGAACGATTTCTTTTGATTTCGTATCAATCTCTTGATGAAGATTCTCTAGCGCTGCAGTACATTGTGCTTGTAGTTCTTTTTGTTTGGTACTTTTTGCCTCCGCAAGAAGCTTTTCTAATGCACCTTGCAAGATGCTCATGGCGATTCGACAAAGTATTAGACTGGTACGTGTTTCGTCTAGAACAAAACACAATAACACTAGTTCTGAGGGAAAGCTCAATAGAATGTTTCATATCAGTCTTTTATAATTTTATTTTTGTGTGACGCGATTTTCAATTCTATGATGGATTTTATTGGATAGCGATAGGTGATATGGCTGATGTAACAAAATAATTTAATCTAATTTGTTTAATTTGTTTGAATATTTCCGCCGAATATAAGCAGAAACAAATACAGCCACTGCAATTAGCGACATTGACACGAGATTTCGTGGCGTGAAAAAAGAAACTTGTTCAGTTCCCGTTATGCGAATTGTCTCTCCTGCTTGCACGTGGATGAAGGAAAGTGGAGCAACACCTAATTCATATCGATATTAAATTAAAATTAGATATATTCACATTATTGATCATGTTTTTTTACTCACCGAACAATGTTGCCCAAAAGAAAACGTTCAATCCAACGTCCAAATGTGGTGACGCGACATTTACAAACCAGTTTGGGAAGAATGGCGCCACGCGTACAAATACTATATAAGAAAATAGGTGTTGCCTTTCTTCTTCCAACTTTTTCGATTTATTGAAAAGTAAGTAGTTTTCATAAGGATGTCGCGTTTTGTAACGATTTTCTGTACCTGTTTATTCCAGACTATCATTCGAGAAGAGAGATACTTTTGAACAAATACTTGTCCTAAATGGAGGGAAATTAGATAACAGATCGATGCTCCCGTTGCTGCACACTTTGTGAAGGTTAAAAAAAAAAGAAAACTCGAGTAAATGGAAACTGAAATAGAAATCGAATTCTGATTAATTACAACTCACAAAACAAACAATCGGTAATGCTTTCCAGCTCCCCCACAACATTCCTCCCAAAACACTAAGCATTACGCTACCGGGTATAGCAAACGACTGTAGACTTTAGTTAAAGATCAAAAGCTCATTATTAATATATTTAAAAAAAAACAATTGTCTTCACATTCTTATCAAATAATAATCATTACAAAATGTAAGTTAACGCGTAGCACATGATAACTTTCAAGTCGTCTTGACCTTTTCCGGTTACTAATGCTTTATAAAGTTGGCTCATATCCTTGTATGTTCTTGGAAAATGAAAGTCTACATTTCTATTTTTGTTCAAGTAAGTTAGTTTAACTTGTTGCCTATTTTTTCTCCACAAACATCTCGAATTAAGTTACCCTTTTGCTGGTAAAAAGTTTTGTAAAGTAATGTATACCAATCCAGCAGAAATTGAGAACAAAACTACAAACTTTATAATGGAAGGAATTAAGGATATTTGGTTCGGGGGAACCACTTTTATTGGCACTGACACTGATACTGATACTGACATATTTAAAGCAAAGCTCATAAATTTTTGATCGTCACGAAAATTAATGACGTTTATGTTATCACGTGATAAAATATAAATATTTTAGTTGCGGGACAGTGCTGGATATTGACGTTAAAGGTTATTTTATCGTTTTGGATTAGGGTTAGGGTTAGGGTTAGAGCTGAGGATAAGATTATATGTAAAATTGCTTTTCAGACATTTTTTTATTAGTGCTTTAAGCTAGATTTTGATATCTATTTCCACATTTTCACATTTTTTATTTTCTTATCAAAGGCCACGTGATTCAGCACTGTCAGTAGACTGCCCGTTTCAGTTGATGTTTAACAAGAAAGGTGACGCCTTATTTTTGGTAGCACTCCATTTTTTATCAAAAAATCTCGCAGATCTATATACAGAAATGAAGCTAAAAACTAACGCTGAATGGATGACAAAAAGAAAAAATCTTTTCTTCTCAAAAATATGTTATCATCATCATACAATATAATAAGAGCAAAATGAGAGGAGAGATATATATATAAACGAGAGGGAAGAAAACAATTATATATAAAAAAAAAAGCCAGAGTATAAAAATACAAAAATGCCGAGATGAATAGTTTTTTGATACATGCATCACTAAAATGTGTAGTGTGTATATGCGAGTGTTAATATGATATGTACGTCTTTGTAATAATAATTTCAAAAATTTGAAAATAATGTGTACAATATAAAAAAAGTTTTGTTTACCGAACAAAATTCGTTTTTGTGTATATGTGAAAGGATCATTAATAAAAAGGGTAAATGATGGGTGGATGGTAAGAAGTCTAATATTTGATGAATTAATTAAATTAATTATTTACTATTTAATTTGATCGAACTATCCTGTTTGAGAAACTTCATCGAGAGGTGGACTATGTGTTCCTGATGCTATATATGGAATGCCACTATGTCAAATAAAAGCAGTTCTATATTGTAAGTATAATAATATTACAGCATATGATAAAAGTGCGTTTAAATAAACACAAAGGCAAATTCGATAAACCGAAGAGGTTGGAACTATTAGTAGTGAATAGTAAATTCGGCTTATCAAAGATGAATTACATCACTGTTCCTGGAACCAACTTCGTCTTATCCGTTTTCAATTTATCGAGAGTGCTTTTGGAATTTAATTTACCTTGGACGTCGTTTTCCTTTGAATGTTTGCAATTTTGGCAAAGGTGCATCTTGTGGTTTAAGTAACTCAAAGCTGCACAGTAATTCCTCGTTCACATTCATCACTGCACCATAATTATCGAATTCACCGCAGTAATTAGGCGCAGAGAACACAGTCACCAAAGTTCTTTCATTGAAAAACTCGTATCCATCTTCGACTACCATGTGCGCACGACAGACCAAATCGAAATCATGCCGTGCCAGAAATTCGTGAATTATTGCTTTTCCAAAGCAATAACTGACACCTCGTTCATTGTCTTCCCAATCAATTGCAGTCTCAGATGGGTCTGACCAAAGAAGATCGTTTAGTAGACCAAAGTCCGGTACATCCTGTGGCCTTTGTATGTGTCTAATTTCGTCCATTGTGGTGAGTGATGGCGAGAGACCTCCATGAACACAAAAGATTTTTGAGGCCACAATTGCTGCTATCGGCAGGCAATTAAATACGTCAACAAAGGTCTTCCAAATTTTGACATTGGAACGACGTTTACATTCATCGTAAAATCCATATACTATAAAAGAGAAAAAAAAACAAAAAAAATTTTACGGTTAAAAAAAAAATGCAAAAGAATGAAATAAAATAATGGTCAAATTCCATATGATCACACAGTTGGTCACATATCAATTATTTTCAATAGTGTGATTATAAAGAGATTGCACCATAAAGTTTTTTTTCCTATATTTCTTAGGTGATTGATCGAAATGATTGTGATTATATGGAGGTTTTTACCAAGGTGTGACTATCTGGGAGTTGACTATATAGAGGGTTGACTGTACTCGAATAACGTATATTTGTCTAATACAAAAACGCAAAACCCGGATCTCATTTAATACCAACTTGATCATTTTACCTCGCGTAACATTGGCGCATTCGTGATTTCCTCGTAGCAAGAAAAAGTTTTCCGGATACTTAATCTTGTAACAGAGTAACAATAGAATGGTCTCCAAACTCTGTTTACCACGATCAACATAATCACCAAGAAACAAATAATTCGCCTGCGGTGGAAATCCACACATTTCAAATAACCGAATAAGATCGGTATATTGACCGTGGACATCACCGACAATTTTCACAGGAGGTGAAAGTTCAATAAGAGTTGGCTGTGATAAAACAATCTCACGTGCTGTTTGACAAATTGTTGTTATTTCTGCATTTTTCAGACAAACGGATTTTGAAACCTTTCCTGAATATCCTGCGTTCTTGAGTCTTTGTATCATCTCATCGATATCCAACGGCTTAACACGATCATTATTATTAGATGTTACAGTAGAAACATAAGTGTTGGTGTTGTTACTACTATATCCATAGCTGAGAGTCGAACTAAGTGAGATATTGTTGGAATCACTTTTTTCTCCGTTTCCATTTACTCGCAAAAGAATAGGCTCCATTGGTGACGAAAGGGAAATGGGCGAGTTCGGTGAACTATTACTATCCTCTGTAGCATTTGATGGTGTGACGTTACTGGTGTCCATTTTCATATATTCACTCAGCGAATTAACAGTATTTCCATTAGAGTACTCTTTTTCATGGTTATCAGGCAAGACAGCTTGCCTACTTTCCCTTTTTTTGGAAACGGTTTGGCCCATTTTTTAATGCAACTTTTTGGATATGTGTGTGCTTTTGTCTGCCCGTTTGTAGATTATTTACAATACTTTTAGGGATTTTTATTTATATAATAAGAATATACTAAAGAAAAAATGCTTTGCAAATTTTTCGGCATGTATTGTTTTTCTTTATTTCAATCTCTTTTCTTTGTTCTTTTTGTTGCTTTGTCTTTATTTTCGCCCGTACTGAAAGCACCAACGACTACACAAAAAACAATCAACTTTAATTAAAGGAAAAAGACAATTAGCCTTTTGACAAAGTATATTAGTAGAAGAAAAATAAAATTTCAACTATAGTTACAAAAAAAAAGAAAGTGGTGTTTAAGCTGTTGGTACTGGTGGTAAGAATTTTCTGTAGAAGATTATGTTAAAAATGTCAGAATAACGAAATTCAAAAAATGCAGCCGGTGGAAATTTCGAAGACTAGCCAATCAAAAAATTAGAATCTTGGCGAAGCAAAAAATTCCTGCTAATATAGTTAATATAGTTAGGAGAAGTGAGGTACACAAGCAGTTATAAATAAACAATATCTATTTCTAACTTGTTCATATGATCTTTTTAGTACATGTGTATGCAGATAGAATATCCGGATAAAAATTATTCTCAAATGAATAAAAGGCGTAAGCATTAGTTTTTCTCAAGATGATCTATATTCCCACTCCTGTATCCAATTATTTTATTCGACAGTGTGTGTGGCTCGTGATGTGAACACGGAATCACGAGGACAACTAATTTCCGAGTAATTTAAGCTTTTTAAACTCATGCATAGCGGACATTATCGTTATCGTTATATATAAATGATTTACGATACACATGTATATAGAATTACATGTCATGTTCATTTTGATTTCCAAAGGCGGAACTCTTAATTAAAAATGATGGTGTAAAATGCGAAATACATGCACGTACATTCGACATGAAATCGAAATCTCTTGCATTAATCAATACATACGTACGTACTTATCGTTATTAAAATCAAGGCATCATCATCATCATTTTTATTATCATCGTGTAAGCTTTATAAGAATAACGAAATGGGAGAAATATCAAATCATTGATTGAGAAATGTTATTTAAATTTAACAGTCCTCATTTTCCTGAAAATAAAAAGCGAGTTTTACTTGTTCCATTTCTTTATATAGATTTTATTTCCTTTATTTTTTTTCGTAAAATCAACAAAAAATTATCTGTATATTTCGCAGGTAGAATAAATGCAACGAAAATTTGTCGATAAGATAAAATTGAAATCATTTATTTTTCTAGTTCGCTTATAGACGATTAAACCCGTGAACAAACAATATAACTTTGAAAAATGTTTTACTCCAAAGATATATTGACGCGTAAAGCCGGAGGCTTTGGAATTATATGGTAATTGGTCATCCCAAGCAAACCAAATGTTTCAATTCTTTATTTGATATATTATAATTATTAAAGGTTAGCCGCTACTTTGGGATCACGATCAAATTTGCGAAAATTATCAAAGAGAGAAGTCAATTCTGTAAATCTTGTTAAAGCATGGTATTATTATTATTATTATTATTATTATGTTTTTTTTTACTTTCTTAGAAGTTTGATTATTCTGATGGTTTTGTGAATACATACAGTGATTATGTCGTCTCTCCTCCGGAACCACTTGCATTACGGTTAACTTCGAATCTTATGATTGGAATCACGCGAGTTTACTTTCAACAATACACATTTTATTATAGTGAGTTTGAATTAGTATAAGCAAAATATTGTATTGTTAACAGAATAAAGCTAAATTAATATTAATATAAAGCTGATGTGAACAATGTTTGGGTTCGTCTAAGAAAAGAATTGACCGCAATAGAGAACGAGCTTATAAATATGCCGGATCCAGAAGCAAAGTAACGAAAGACGCTTTTCTTACCATACACATTAAAAATATTTTGTTTGTGATTCATACGTCTTTTTGATTCGATAGATACGAAGCAATTACGATCGAAGATGATCCAGAATTCTTGATTGAAATATCGGTGCCAGCTCTAAGAGACATCGGTCTAGTAAGCTATATATAAAGATTCATTCATAATTTATTGTATACATTGAAGCAAATTAATCTTTATTTTCAAGGTACCTGATCTTAATAATAAAATCGAATTCTCGGAAAAATCTGTTGGTAGTCGAGGTATTCATTTTTTTCATTATTGCCATTATGATAATAACACATTATTATTTTTAATTAGATTATTAAAATTTTGTTAAGTTCCCTCGATTTCAAACAACAATTCGAGACTTACTCGAATCACATTGTCAGAGGACGAATTTTCAAACTTCGTTCCTATATTAGAAAGTTTTACTGGTAGTGGCGGTAGTCTTAGCGATTTGGGAGATGATGAATTATTGAAGGATGATTCTGGGTATTAATATTATTCTTCGCGTATTAAATCATTCATTTATGCTCTAAAAGATCAAGATCTTATTATTTACAATATCGACAATATAAGAATAAGACTTCATTTCGAAGCAGATGGAACTCTCCGAGAAATTATTCCCAATCAGCCAAACATTCCCGAATTTGATAATAACGACCAATTCGGTGCTCAAATTTACGAAGAAATGATAAGAGAAGTCAGAGAAGACCATTATGAAGGTGAAGAAGCAGTAGAAAGAAAGCGACGTAGACTCAATAACCAAATTGGTCTCGAGAATGAAGATTTATTGGTTTGTTCAAATTGACTAATAGGAATTGTAGTTTTCATAATACTTAGTTTATGCATGGATTGTGTAGAGATTAGAAGATATCAATGCGGAAATGGATATCGATACGGAACGTGTTCTATTGCAAGACACCGAAGGAGCAGAAAACAATATTCTTAATCAAGAACAGGAACAAGAAGAACAAGAACTACAACTACAACAGGAGGAAGAGCAGCGAAGTCAAGAACGACGAAGCAGAAGGAAAAGAAAGCTAATCTCTTTGATTGACGAAACAACAGAATTATCGAATCAAGAGATTCTGGCTATGCGAGATAATTGCACTCGAGATCTTATTAAAGCTCAGGAATCAGCAAGAAGAAAGGTTTATTATTTTCATATTCTATATAATGACTCCTTGGATTGGAAAAATGACTCTTTCTTTGTTTCTTACTTTAATAAGGAAATTTCGCAAGTATTCAAAGAAAAAGTAAAAGAAGCCTTATACACACCGTGCTTACAATGTTTGTATTTTCTTTTTATTAGCATTGTATTTTTTGAATTTAATATTGAATATATTTTTGAAAAACTGTCAGTTAAAGCACTGGAATTGCAATCGTTCTGGAATAAACATTGCGCTCCTCTTATGCGAGGTATCAAGATCTTTTGATTTTTTATTATTTTTTCTCAATATTGAAATTCTGTCAAATTTTAGGAAATAGAATAACAATAAACAGGGAGTTGATGGACTTGGCTGGTATCTTTTTAAAATTTACTTGCATTATACAGTTTGTGCTCCATAATAAATTTTTGTATATTTCAAGATTCAAGTCGAAATGTTGGTGCGATTACCGGATTTGACGAAATTGAGATGGATGACGAATCCGTTGTTCCAGTAATATTTATTCCTATATTTGATAAATAAATTTGGTGAATAATAAACTACCTCTTCTAAATTAGATTGATGATGAGATGCTTGAAGAAGCTATGCGTCACGAGTCCATGCTTGATGATGAACCTGAGCGGCGAAGAGCTGCAGATAATAGTCAACAGAACTCGGGATTATTGCAGTTTGATAGACTCAATTCACGTGCAAGCAGTATTGATGGTGTTCCTGATACTGGTACATCTTTTGTCAATTCGTCATTGTGTCATGTCTCTCGCTCACGATTTGATTTTACGCAAAAAGATCAATTTGATCGGGCCTCCTCGGCGGATACGCGTGCAAACCACGATGTTTCCTTGGATTTGTCTGGTCAGCTTGGAAGGTAATTTATCTTATAAATAAAGTCACTTATATGGTCATATTTCTAATAAAGTACGATTTATTATTTATAGTAATCGTAATAGGCAGAGCTCGGTCAGATTAGATCGTGCATCAGTCTCCTCTTCGGATGGAGGAGACTTTATCGGAGATGATTTCGGATTACTACCGGAATTCAACATATTCAATAATGGTATAATTATAAATTACTATCTAGTGTTGACCGCAAGTCTGTTAATTTTCATCCAATAATGGTAAAACTTGGGCAGACATGATTGATGACGATGATGAAAGATTCAGTAACGGGATAAATACCCAACAAGATAGAAGAAATGAATCGTCAACTATCGTGGAGAAAGAATCCTATAATTTCATGGAATTTGTGAAATCGTCGATGGATCAAGTTGGCGTTTCTCGTGTGACGTTTCAAGAAATAATGAATTCTCGACGAGCCAAAAAATCAGAAGTGGCGAAATCATTTTATCACTTGTTAGGTTTGTTGGTTGATTAATTGATATATTATATCTTTTTATTATCCTAAAGCGAGCCCGTATGATGTATAATTTATTAGTGCTAGCCACTAAAAGTAAAGTTCATGTAAGCCAAACACTACCTTACGGCGATATTATAATGGAGTTTACATGAGAGGAAACCTGCCATTGCGTTTGTTGCTATCGAGAGATGATGCATTACTATCAAATCTTTTTTCATTATATTTGATACTTTGAATCTATATAATAAACATTATCTTTCTGTACATATATACACTCCGGATACGGGTTTTGTATGATCACTGAATTATTAAATATTGATTGTAGATATAGACTATCTTATAGCCAGAAACAACTTTATTTGGAACAATCTTTTATGTTTCTATTGAAAATTGTAACTTTACTTTGACTAAACTAAAATGTAAATTTGGATTGTAAATGCTGTATAATTTTATGGATATTGATTGTAGATATATATTATCTGATACCAGAAACAAGAGCTGCAACATTGCTTAGAACCATTTTTAAGATTTCTATTGATAATTGAAACTTTTACTTTGACCAAGCTAAAAATATCCATAATTAGTTTTAAATTTCAAAATAATTGACAGTTTGATTTAAATTTCTGTGTCCGGTGACTTTTAAGGAGGGAGCGTACGTTGCTTCGCGAATCAGTGAAGATTCACTATTAATTTTTTTATTATAACTCCAGAAAATAAATTCACCAGTATCGTTATGTGCTGTAAGAATTGATAATAATAAACAATATGCCTAATTCAACATCAATTTTAGATTCATGTATTATCGATATAACGAAGTGGTCGTTTATCTAGTAAACTGGATCACGAATTAATGTATTTATTATTATTATTATAAAAGTTTCTTCTCTTCATACATGTAAGCTTAATGTTTTTGAAATCTAAGATCGTCATATCGATATTTTATAAATAAATCTAGAAACTACCGCTACGTATACCTAAATTGTGATTTTGACACCTGTAATACAACATCCTCGATTCTTTTCATAAACCAACTGATAAAACGTTGAAATAATAAATATGACCCACTTACAGATCCAAACACTAAAAACACAATAAAAAGTATAAACGATACGTGACCACAATTACAAATCCTGCCTCCTCCGCCAAAATATAATTCACGTGTACTTCGAAATCCATATCGCCAACTGTGGTACGTGAGAAAAAGTAGCCCGATAATTGAAATGGCAAGTAATCCAGCAATCCAATTCCAATTTGCTAAATTTAAAAATTCAATTTTCCGGTGAATAAAATAGGTGTCATTCAAATCCGATTTCTCATTCCTGATTGTGTGATCGAATATTTTTGTCATCCATGAAAAGGCGAAAAATAATCCAAGTAATGTCAGAATTGACAAAAAGTGTGCAAGAATCCAACTTGATAGGATTTTTGCGATGCGAGTTCGATAAAACTTGTATTCGTATTCGCAAATCTCACATCGATATGAAGCTTCTTGACGTATCCCAGTATTACGCCAAAGTTCTAGACATCCAACATGAACATATTTCATTGGTCCATTACATTTGCATGTCGAGAATAATCGACCTTTGGTTATGTATTTTGATCCTTTGATCGTGATCTTTTCACCCACACAATCTTCGCCTTCTTGACAAAATTTACATAATTTTGGCTGATTTTCGTAACTTACAGAGTCACGTGATGTTAATTTGGCATATCCAGTTAAACTTCGTTTTGATAGTGGAATTGCATTATTTATTTTGCTGCTATTAACATGAGTATATCTGCTCAATTCTTGTTCTCGGGTAACTTGTGGGTGATATTCGGAGGGTGGTGGATAATAAAGGCTTAAAGATCTACGACGATTTGATTGTTGTGAATTATTTGGTAAAGTAGGAATTGTACCAGAAAGAATAAATGATTCGGGGGATTTTGATCGAACAGCTTTTTTATTACTTTCAAAATTATCAAAAGATGATATTCCTCTGATGTTTGAATACGTTGATGACGTTTGTATTGATGTTAGTGGCAACGTTGATGGGCAATCAATTGTAGTTTGCGACCCTTAACATAAATATACATTTGATTATTCATTTATTCATAATTAATTATCGATAAATTAGCAAACATACTTTTAGCTGATCTCAGAGAATATATTCTTTCAGAATTATTTCTAGAAAAAGGAAGCGTGTATCTATGATGAGAAAGATTCCTTTCCGACAAATTACCTGGGCGAAGTTGCATTAATGGATTTGATTGGTATGTTGTATATCCGGCTATTCTACTTCGATGATTATTTCCGAAAGAAGACGAAGAAGGAAATGAAGGACTTGGACTTCTTGGTGGAAGTGATCTTTGTATATCATTATTATTATTGTTATTGTTATCGCCAGATGTGGAAAGGCATTGCCGATGCGGAACGTCTGAATGTTGTCTTATTCCTTTCACCCCTTCTATTTGACTTGTTAAAAATATTATTTTTATTATTATTGATTATTATAACAAAATTTAAGCAATAATAATTCAGACACGCGTAATTTAAGAAACTTGCCTGGTGAAAATTTGATTTTCTCTTTTATCCATAATTAGTAACTATTCTATGTCATCGGGAATATATAATAGCTGTTTTTCTTGCAGAAAAACTCATAAAGAAACACAACAACATAGACAATCAACAACAACGGTGACAAAATACAATTTATTTAAGTATTAACTTTCAAACAAACATCGAGAAACAAAGGCGATTATTAATGTACGGTTCATGCATCAGGAATTCTTTAATTATTAGAATGTAAAAGAAGAAAACAATATCAATAACTACATAATATATATATATGGTCATTCAAAAGCAGTAAATTTCTCTAACTCTCGAATTTCGCGTATCAAATTATTACGGGCATCCATTTCACATCCACCACGTTCTTCCAAAAATACTCGAGACAAATATAAATTATCACGCGCGAGAAATTTTTCGAGTACTTTTGCACGACCGATCGAAAAGTCCTCGGTTGAATAGTGAATGTATTCTTGTCGTATTTGTTTTGCGTATTTATCGTATTCTTTATTAGAATATGATTTATTAGGATATGATCATATATGTGTTGAACTAAAGAACAAATAGATAATTACCATCAGGTTCCCAACTTAGTACTTCCAAATCGAGATCCAAAAACAATTTCAAATCTTCTTTGATGTCTAGTTCGCAATCATCATCATCACCGTCTCTATTATTGGTAATCGTGAATAATGGCAATTCATGATGAATTGTCGCAGCGATAAAAAGTGAAACGTGGTCCCTTTCTGTTGCAGTCTTTTTATATTAAATGATGTGATAGCCATAGGTGAATACAAAATATGCCATTTAAAATAAAAAAAAAATGGATCAAATTTTTACCAATTCGACTTCTTGTGCATACTCGTCAAATAGTTTTATACTCTGTTCTTCATTATTGTTGAACTTCTTTGGATCATAGACAATGCTGTAAATTCATAACGATAGATGTTCATTATCTTCCAATTCGTAATAACATAATAACGATAATGATTTAAGGTAAATAATACGTAGTTTACTCATGGAAAAGAATTGCCAAAACCATAATTTTATCATTTACAATTTTCGCTTTTAACTTTTCGAATAATTTCAACATTCTTGTGATATGATTTAATCCGTGATAGTATCGATGTGGTTCAGAATATCCATTACTAATGATATTGAACCATTTTGTGATGTGTGGTTCTGGAATGTATTTTTTACAATAGTTAAGTAGTGGCTGTTGATTGTTGTCAGTAGTCATTATTGAAAATATCTTATCGATAAATATGGTTATCAGAAATTAAATTAACATTAACAACCTTAACGTTAACATTGATTGTACACTGCAAATGAACTTCCAAAATGACAAGTGTAACCCAGGTGACTCCTTGATCTTACTGGTACGACCATAAACAATTATCACGCTCCGCTTGTTTCCAGTTATCGTTATTCATTAGCGTTATTATTACATACACAGAAAGTGTACAGAGAATCAGAAATAATCCTATTAAATAAATACCATCAATTATGCTTGCTCTTCTTTTTCTACTTCGACTCGATAACAACAACCTTACGCGTAGACTATTTTTTCCGCGTAGGATAATAAGTAGATAGAATTTACTCGTGAATTCTTCAACGACAAAAGTATCACCCTCTTCTGTCTGACTGACTACTCCCTCTTTTTAACATAACTATAAGTATGAACACCTTTCAAAGGAATTTATTAGAGGTGAGATGTGATGCATTTAAGAAATTTGTGGAATTTCGCTCGAGATCGTAGGTCATTGATTAGAACAAACACATATAAAATAATGAACAAAAGAGAGAGCAGCTCCTTGATAATTCGTTCCTTTTGGTTTGCTCTCAAGTTCAATTTTTATTGTAGTATTTTATCATAATAGAAACTTCTGGAACTTATGCAAGCACATACACATACAACCCCCAAGTTGCAAGAGCTTAATTTTGCACCAATAAATCTTAAATAATAAATGTAAAAGTACAAAATATAATTCTGTGAAAAACCGAAAATACCGAAAATACTAATTCCATTTAATCTTTAATATTTATTATTATTGTTGTAATGTTGTCGTTGTTCAGAATACATTTCGCCCTTATCTCGATTCTACTTTGGTGGCTGCCATCTTGGATGACGGGCACGATTTCGGCGCATGTTTCGATATTCTTAGTAAACTCGCTGAAGAAGCAAATTTGGCTGAATGTTTCGCATATATTGATGGTACCGAAAATCGCTCCGAAAACGATAGGAATATTAACCAAAGTTCTAACAGTGAACCCTTCAATAATAGAGAGGATAAGCAAAAAATTCTCAGACATAGGGATAAGAGCGAAGCAGCCATGTATTCTCTTAATGGCGTGCACGGGGAATCTTCCCCTTTTACATCGGCAGAATTAGAGGATCGTCTAGATAGTCTTGATTTGAATGGTGATTTCTCTGACTCCGGATCGTCTGCTCAATTTCTTAAAGGTTGCTTTCCCGTATTGTCCGATGAAAAGGTTAATAAATTACTTCTCGAATATGATAATAGTCTCGAAAAAATTTTGGATGTCGTATTGAACGAAATCTTTTTGGAATCGGAGCAACTCGACTCGAAATCGACATATTCGTCTTCTGCATCCACTACTTCATCCTTTGACACAAGAGATGAAGATTACGATGACGATTTGTCATCTGAGGCACGTTTTAAACATCGCAAGAAGAAACGACGTAGGCAACAAAAGTCCACTCAAATGTTGCTCCACGTTAATGCCCTCATACCTAATTCGGATAATTCCACGTCGACAGTTCAATCATCTGCAACGTCATCAAATAAACCTTCAATTTCGGAACCTTCTTCCCCTTTTACGCCATCAAATGTACAAAATCAATGGATTAAATTCGAGAAGGAGATTCAACAATTATCGAATTCATTTCCTACTCTCCCTCATAAAACTATCGCTTCGACTTTGCATTCTAATGGAGGAAATTATCATGAAACAGTATTGAAATTGATTTCAATTTGTCCAGCAGCACCGTACTGCAAACAACAATTATTCAACGAGAATTTAAATCATTTGAAAGCTGTTTTTCCGAATCATGACGAGCAAATCCTTAAAAAAGCACTTATTGGTACTGGCTCTACCCAAATGGCAAGCAGTTTATTATTACGATGTTATGATAGTGGTTATGGTAGTAATGACAGTAGTAATATGTCAAGCCCGGATGAGACTGATATAACGAATTATGATTATTTTAATGCCGACAAATTGAAAAGTGACAACCTGAATTCCGAAAGACCGAAAAATAACCATTTCAAGTACGAAAGATCGAAAAAACAGCTGAATGTATCTCGAAGCCCATTCTTACCAAACGGTGTGCAATTCGATCATGATACCGGCGAATATGTTGTAGCCCAGGGGGAAATGAAAAAAGGCGCCTCTGATTTTAATTTTAATATAAAGAACGAAAAACCCCGCGAAAAAACTCGTTCGATTTCATCATCCTCGTCCAATGAGGATGACTATAATGAGGATGACTATGATGAAGATTATGATCCTCAATATTGCCGTCAAAGAGCAACTGAGCTAATGGCGAAAAGGAATGAGGCTTATCGGAAGGCTGCAGTAGCTTTTCGGAAGGCAAAAGGACGCAATGGAGAGGGCGGAATTGCGTTCTTTTATTCTGACGAGGTTTTTATTTTTATTATTTGTTCGGGATATATGATAGAACAAAAAATTTAAACTGATGTATTTAATTCCAGGGACGTGAGTATGATTCCCAAATGCAACAATGGAATTTACGTGCCACTAGATCCTTGATAAAACGAGATAGGTAATGAGTTTCTGGACATTTTTAAAATTCACGTAATTTATCACCACTCATAATTGCCTAATGAGTTTGTTTAGTGAGGCAAATAGAGATCATGTTCTTTTGGATTTGCATGGCTTAACTGTCGCGGAAGCAGTTCTAGTCGTCAATGAAGGGCTGGCACAATGGTACTCTAAAGGAATGAATCAAAGATGTAATTAGCCTTTTATTGTTATTATTAACTTTCCATTACTATGCAATCTTTTTGTTAATTATTATTTATTTTCCCTTTGTATACAATAAACAGCTCATACCCCAATGAAACCCTTAAAGATTGTCACTGGTTTGGGTAATCATTCACCTAATGGTGTGGCGAAATTGCCTCCAGCCATTGCTCAAATGTTGGCTAGGGACAAGTGGGATGTGGTTAGACATCAGGGATACTTTTTGGTCAGGGGTCGGCAACCATAAAAAGCCACAAGCTAGCGTTCGGCCTCGTAAAAAGGGATGAGGTGTTTCGTCTAGTAGCGGGGTTTTTTTTGCTTGGTGAATTTTCACCAGGCAATAATATTACATTTACATTATATAAATTCGATTTATTTTGTCAATCTATCTTTTTTATGAAATTATTATTAAAATTAAATCACGAAAAGCCTTTTATTGCTACTAACCGTGCTTGTGAAATTGTCAAATTTACAATTCGCATCATATTAATCTCGATATTTAGTGATTGATATAAATCTGATTTGTTATGCGGCAATCTGAGAATCCAAAATAGGCGATCACAACAAAATTTGCTAAGACTCACCCTAAATTCTAAAGGGTTTCTGTAAATAATGTCGACCAAAGAACTACGACGTCTTCTATCTTCTACACTTTCTCAACGTCAAGCTTCTGCCTCCGCTTCTTCTAAAATAACACATCCATTTGCGAAATATGAAAATAATAAACTTTATTGTATTGTGTGCTCTTCTACCGTCAAGAATGATACCTTATGGAACGTGCATCTTAATAGTACGGGACATAAAGAGCAACTGAAAAAGTTAAAAGAAGTCAAAGAAAGAGCCAAGAGTGGTGTTGGTGGTGGTCGTACTACTGGTCAAACTTCAACAACAAAACTTAGTAAAGAAACAAATAAGAGTTTTAGCACGATAAATCAAGCTGAGAAGAAGAGACAAGCTAGTAGTTTGGAAAGCACGAAAATAGTAAAGAGGAGTGGGGGAGTAGGATCTTTATTGATTGAATATGATGAAGATGATGACAACGAAGATGATGAGGACGAGAGAAAACAAGCGGAACCGAAAGTCAAGAGAGTGAAATTTGCAATCGATGAAGAGAAATCAAGTACCTCTTCCGCTTTACCTCTAGATTTCTTTGATGATTCGGAACAAATGGATTACGAAAAAAATGACGAGCAAATAAATCCATCAAATGGTTTCTTTGATGAGCCTTCATCTTCAGCACAACTCGCTTCTTTACGTATAGATTCTTCTTCGCCTCAAGAGGACGATACAAAATCAGCACAAAAAGTAGAGCCCGTTATTTCTGAGTCTTCAGTATTGCCTGATGACTTTTTTGATAATCCAAAGAAATCTTTAGGCTCATCATCATCATTAGGAAATGTCGAGAAAAATCAGTCAGCAGAAGTTGACGAAGAAGAATGGCAACTTTTTCAACGGCTCATTTCTAAAGAAACGCAAGTTTCCAATAAAATTGCAGATGCTGATGATGAAGAATTGCAGCGTGATCGAGATGAAATGCAGGAAAGGGAACAAGAAATGTGTATTAAAAGATTGGAAAAATTAAAAGAATCTGCGAATCGTGTTAAACAGAAACAGAGTGAAAAAATGATGATCGCCTCTACTTCTACATCATTAAAGGAGGAAGCGAGTGAAGATGGCGATGAGATGGAGGAGGAGGATGACGAAAACGAATGGATGGATTGGAGATCACAAAAAATATTACGATAAAGATTTATAATTAATATTACTTCAAAAGACATTAGCAATTTTCTTTATTTCTTAATAAAGTTCAGTTTATTTTTACTTTCAATATCCGTTTGAAAATAAACCAAGTTTTTCATGTATACTATTTGTTATTTATTATATTCATAGATGAGAGAAATTATTATACATTGTATAATGAGTTTCAATTTTCTTTGGATTCTCGAGTCTTAGCTTCCTCTATAAGTGGTATAAGAGTAAGGGCTCAGGATCAATGGAACATGATAATGTCCTTCCGTATCGGTGATACTAAAGATAACCTTTTTTTTTTTTTTAAGAAATACATATGACAAATTTAATAGTTATTCCTCTATTATATAAATACAGTATCTCTTTTATTACCTGAACATATGGATAAAAGGTCTCTACTTCAAAATTGTCAAAATAAGAACTTGTATTAAAAGTGATACGATATATTCCTCGAGTTATTTTGTGACTTTCAGGTGAAAGAAGGTTCGGACATCTGCCATCTTTATTTGTTTCTCTGTGAAAGAAAAGAAGTAACAGTCATAAAAAAACACGTCAATTGCTCCCGATATTGATTTTTATTCTTTGAGTAAAACTGGTTGTAATATAATTTCATAAGATAATATCTAAATATACCCTTCAGCCACAAGAATCCAATCCTTGTCATACTCTTCTGGAGAAGTCGTCGGTGCTTTTTTCACTTCCAATCTAATTGGGAGCATTTCCGCTGGTTCACCTCGCGACGTGTCAAGAACATGACAAGTTATTGGACTTTGTTGCTTTTGCGACATTTTATTTATTTTCTTTTTCAGTGAATATAGGAGAGGAAGAGACGAGTGCAAATTTGTAGAATTGATGATTTTATTTATGTTTGTGATGATATCATTATTTAATCAAATGATGTATTACTAATTAAATAATACAACAGTTTTTTTCTTTCCACCAACTAAAGCTTAGCCCCAGCTTTCTCAATCCATTTTCGAACTTCCGTCGCTATCTCTTCCGCCTTCTTAGGATCTCTTCCCTCTTCAAGTAACTTGCTTTTTTCTGGTACCTCCAGACCACGTTTTACGGCCTCTCTTGCGTACATGCGGTCTAGCCAAGCGGCGATATTTGGATATTCGTCTATAATTACGAGTTTGAGTAAGATATCTTTTTAATATATATTATGTATGACGCGCGTACCTAATGTGATGCCAATCAGCGCGTGATGGGCAATCCACGTAAAGTTTGCGATGTCGGCTATTGTCAATGAGTCACCGACAAGGTATTGTCTACCCTCTAATCGAGTTTCGATTACCTGTGAAGCTAATTCGTTAAATAAATAATAATTTATGTATGAAAATAGAAAATAGAAATGAATATTACATGATAAAGTTGCTTGGTCTCCTTGACATATCGTTTGATAGCGTATGGAATTTTCTCTTTTGCGTATCTAATGAAATGGTCTGCTTGTCCTTGCATTGGACCGATACCACTCATTTGGAACATTAACTATTTGCAATTTATTGATATTAACATTAATAAAACTACTCGATCATGAATAAAAAATAATTTTACTCACCCATTGATCAACTTCGCATCGTAAGTCCGCATCGTTTGGAAGAAATTTTCCTTCTTTATCATAATGCTCACACAAGTATCGCATTATTGCACCGGTCTCGAATACTTTAAAGTCGTTGCGAGAGTGATCGACGATTGCGGGAATTCTGTTTTATTTTATCGTTATGAATATATCGATATACATGTAAAAATAATAATAATTTACCTTCCATTCGGATTTATTTTCAAAAACCTTGAATAAAATCAAATCAAATTGAATTAATTATAATACAAAATAATTTATAGCAATAATTAAGTTTCTTTACCATGGTTCCTTTTGCTCATTTTTGTCTAATGCAACCGGATAAATTTTATAAGGGATTCCTAATTCTTCTAAAGTGATACTGACTTTTTGTCCCTTTATTATATTTTTAGAGGAATAAGGAAAAAATTAGAATTATAAGAAAATAATTAAAGATATTACAAAAATGAATACATTAGGAGTTCCAAAAGTGTAAAAAGTAATATCAGGATGCTGTGTTGTCATACTAAAGCGTTTAGAAAAAAGATATGATGGTCGTAGTGACCTTGATGGTAATAGTGAATGCGTCTTATGTCTAATTGCCAAAGAAAATAAAGGATTTTCCTGAAAATGGATCACTTTTCTGAGAACTGGAAGAAAATCGATAAGCATCTTATTTCGCTTATTCTATATTTTTTACTATAAATTACGCGTTATGCGAAAGAAAAAAAAAGGAAGGAAATTAGGTACTAATCAAAACAATTGCTTGTGGACAGATATTTATTGTTGCGAGTTAGTGATCTATGAGAAAAATCTAGGATAAAAAGCGATACACAAAATCAAGAAACAAACCAAAGAAAACCTCTATAAAGTAAACACAATAACGATAAATATTCTCGTTTCTTTCAAGTTATTGCTTTCTAAAAAAGAAATTTATGGCGCAGTAATTCGATTATCCATAAATGAATGAATCAATGCTTTTTCATCCATCGCAAAAAAATTCATTATAGCAACGACTCAATAATAAAGTGTGCGCATATGCACAAGATAGTTTTATCACTAGAAACGCGATTAAAATGATTCGATAAATATGCATTCAACCAGTCAACCAGCCTGACATACTTTTACTATTTGAAAACCGCCGTCGTCATTTGCTTCTCTGTGAAAGGAAAGAAATAACAACCATAAAAAAACACGCCAATTCCCCCGATATTGATTTTTTATTATTTGAATAAATATAATAATATCACTTGTCGGCGAAGTCGAATTGGGAGCATTGCCACTAGTTCACCACGCGACGTGACAAGTTATTAGACTTTATTATTGCTTTTGTGACATTTCATTTTCTTTTTTCAGTGAATATAGGGAAACTTGTAGAATTCACCAATTTAGATGATTTTATTTATGTTTGTGATGATATCATTGTTTAGTCAACGACATAATGCAAATTAAATTTAATAATAAATGTAAAAACTAAATAGCGATAGTGCTTAGTTATTTTTCTTTCCACTAAGCTAAATTAACTAAATCTTAGTCTCAGCTTTCTCAATCCATTTTCGAACTTCCGTCGCTATCTCTTCCGCCTTCTTAGGATCTCTTCCCTCTTCAAGATACTTGCTTTTTTCTGGTACCTCCAGACCACGTTTTACGGCCTCTCTTGCGTACATGCGGTCTAGCCAAGCGGCGATATTTGGATATTCGTCTATAATTACGAGTTTGAGTAAGATATCTTTTTAATATATATTATGTATGACGCGCGTACCTAATGTGATGCCAATCAGCGCGTGATGGGCAATCCACGTAAAGTTTGCGATGTCGGCTATTGTCAATGAGTCACCGACAAGGTATTGTCTACCCTCTAATCGAGTTTCGATTACCTGTGAAGCTAATTCGTTAAATAAATAATAATTTATATATGAAAATAGAAAATAGAAATGAATATTACATGATAAAGTCGCTTTGTCTCTTCGACATATCGTTTGATAGCGTATGGAATTTTCTCTTTTGCGTATCTAATGAAATGGCTTGCTTGTCCTTGCGTTGGGCCGATACCACTCATTTGGAACATTAACTATTTGCAATTTATTGATATTAACATTAATAAGACTACTCGATCATGAATAAAAAAATAATTTTACTCACCCATTGATCAACTTCGCATCGTAAGTCCGCATCTTTTGGAAGAAATTTTCCTTCTTTATCATAATGCTCACACAAGTATCGCATTATTGCACCGGTCTCGAATACTTTAAAGTCGTTGCGAGAGTGATCGACAATTGCGGGAATTCTGTTATTTAACAAAATTTAGTATGAATATATCGATATATACATCTAGAAATAGTAATAATTTACCTTCCATTCGGGTTTATTTTCAAAAACCTTGAAATCAAATCAAATTGAATTAATTATAATACAAAAACAATTTAAAGCAATAGTTAAGTTTCTTTACCATGGTTCCTTTTGCTCATTTTTGTTTAATGCAACCGGATAAGTTTTATAAGGGATTCCTAATTCTTCTAAAGTGATACTGACTTTTTGCCCCTTTATTATATTTTTAGAGGAATAAGGAAAAAATTAGAATTATAAAAAAATAATTAGATATTACAAAAATGATAGAGAAATAAATACATTAGGAGTTCCAAAAGTGTAAAAAGTAATATCAGGATGTTGCGTTGTCATATTCGATAAACTAACAGAGTTAGAAAAAGTCGATGATGAAATTGAACGCGAGCATCTTATTTATATTTTTTTCGCTTAACGTCGATCGGTTCTTTCTGACAAATACCAATTAATTACGCGTTAAAACTTATAGGTGTTAGTAAAAAATGATTGCTTGTGGACAGACACTTTAACGATTGTTGACAATCATACGAGTTATTAATCTATGAGAAAAATCTAGAATAAAAAGCGAATTTGTAATCGAGAAAAGTTCACAATAGAAACTTATGACAAATTCGCATTTGAGATCATCCATAAATCCCCCCGGCTATAATATCCCCCATGAAAAGTATACAATTTATGGAAAAAAAATCGATCAACGTTTTATATTCGTTTGCTGTATTTAATTAAGAAATTAGCAAAACGATAAACTCTTTTTGACGGTTTTGTTCGTGTGGATCACATATCGATATTAATACAAGAAAATTTGATGTAGACAACTAGTTTCTATATATAAATGCCATTGACCGAAATTTTCGTAAGTACAAGAAAATTAATATATTGATTCTATTACTATGCTATTAACATAATTGATTTCTTCTACGTTATAATGATTCTTTTCTTTGCTAATGAGATCAACTTCTTCCACCATGTCAAAATTAACAAATTCATTGATATTTAAATTGTTGGATCCTTTTTCAATATTGATACGAGAACTTATATTAAGATCATTAGATTCTTCTTCATTAAAAGCATTAGAACTTGTATCTAATGCTCCAACCGGGTCGGGTCCGATCCGTGATCTGACCCGGAACGCACATTTCGGGTCGGGTCGGATTGTGGTCAAATCCGACCCGAAATATTTCGGTTCGTTATTTCTCGTTCAATATTAATTGGAATTAAACGAAAATTTGTGGGTATATACACAATTACATTCCGAACAACTCTACTTAGACACCAAATACAAGTGTTTTAGTAAAAATAAAAGTTATTAACTAAAAACTATTTTACGATTTTCGGATCAAACCCGACCCGACCCAAAATTATCGGTTCGAGTTGACCTCAAATACTATCCGACCCGACCCGAACAGAGCTTTACTTGTATTAATATTAAAAACTCGTATCTATATCATGTATTTTAGCTTAGAGTTGAAGGTTTTTGATATTTTAGATTGTCAAATAGATAGATTTTAAAAAGGTTTTAACAAGAAAAATTTGGATCTTAACTTGTAATCTATATTGATTGGTATTATATAGATAAATAATATTTTTCCTTATTAATAAACTATTAATAATTGAAGTTATTGTGAAGACATATTGTCTTGTATTATAATATATTAAAGTTATCTAATATTGTTCTAACTTGTCAACAAAATGAATATATATTATTTACATTTTAAATCTAAATCTAAATCTAAATTTTTTCCATCTTATATTTAGAATAATTATATGAATTATTCATAATTATTTAAATTCAACTAAAATAATAGTTTTTGGTGCTCTTTCTTTAAAAAAGATAACTTTACTTTAATAAATCTTATTTAAATTAAAAGAATTCTTTGTAAAAAAAGAAAATTTCACATTAAAAAATCTTTATTAAATTAGAATTAAATTAAGAATTCTCTGTGAAAAACATATCAAGCAAATTTTTTCAATCTAAATTTCATATAATTTACTGATATCAAAGTTAAAAGATAATTTTAAAATATAATTAGTAAATTATTAAGAATAAAGTATATCTTTTTGTGAAATTATATAATTATGTGTAATTAATTATAAAAAATCCCATAGTTTTGCATATTTAATTATAAGAAATCACATAGTTTTATATATTTTTGTATATTTAATTATAAAAAATCATATAACTAATAATAAATAAAAATATATTTTATTCTTATTAATAACTAAAAGATATTTTAATAAAGATTTTACAAAAATTTTTGAAATTTTTAAAGTATTTTATCAAGAAATAATTCATGATAATTCGATTATTAAAGCAAGAAAAACTTTTGTATAATTATTAATAAAAAAATTCAATTTAACTAAACAAGTAATTTAAACTTATTTTTATTATTTTCAACAAAAAATATATTAATTTTATCAGAAAAGAACTAAATATTAAAGAGAAGACAAAAAAAATAAGTAGCTAATATAAAATATTTTTAGCTTAAAAATTAATTATTGCAAAAAACAAGTAAAAATACTTAATATTTTTGAACAAAATAATTTGATTCAGAAATATTTCAATCAAAAAGTTAAATTATTTTTCAATAAATTAGAAATCAAATATCATTTTTTAATATTAAAAACAAAAAAAACTTTAATTATTAAAAATAATAAATTTGATTATAAATAACTTAATAAATATTATAAATTATAACAAAAAAGCAAAATATATCAAAATAATTAGTTTTTATAAAAATATTTAAGATTTAGTTGAATAATTACAAGAGTTTAAAAATATTTATCAAGCTAATATAATAAATAATAATAAAAAATGCAAATTATTAAAATATATATATATCTAAAAAGAATAATTATTACTTGAATTACTAATAAAAGAATTACTAAAAATTGATTTATATAATAAAATTCAAATAATATTATTATTATTTTATCTTTTATTATTATGTATTATTTTTTAAGCACAATAATATTCTTTCTAATATTTTTCACTTTCATATTTTTTTATATTTTTATTCAATAGTGTTATATAATGACCTTTCGTCATAATATTTTATTGGATTATAAATATCTCATATATTATTGGATAAAGATTATATCACGTGAAGCGAGCGAACAAGCGAGCGAACAAGCGAACGAACGAGTAACTAAGTGAACGAGCAAACGAACGAGCGAACGAATATTGGACCAATAGAATTTAAGTGATATAGTATACATGAATTCGTATAGCCTAGAAATTATATCTTGGATTTGTATAAAAGCAACATGTATCGTAATTGTTAGAATTAGATATGAACAAGTCCTTT